TATATGATTGATGAAACCAATTAAATTGACCAGCTCTGGATGAGGTATCAGGATAAAACATATGGGGTATCAGGATAAAACATATGGGGTATCAGGATAAAACATACAACAGTTTTTAAGTTAGACCTTTAGAAACACGACTGTGAAAACCGCATCCAATTTTGTGCAATATTTTTTGCCTGATAACGGAATAAACATATAGACAGACAAACGTTTCTAAAAATGATTATTTTGGCTTCTATTGGTTTTATTGAATAAGATCTCTTATATAATTTTTTCTTCAATATCTGTCATGTACAGGCATCGTGTAGTTACAATTTATTACAGTAGTAACACAAATAAAAATGATGTATATATACAAGTACAAGTATATATACTTAATATAATTTTATATGACTCTACATTTTATTAAGTGGCTACTTTTAAATATTAATTTTATAATCACTGATTCATAATATTAAAATTGAGTCAAAACATAGAAAACATGAAATTTAGCACTTAACAAACGAATATGATTCAAAACTTGTGAAAATAACAATAACATAAATAAGAAAAATGTGCCCACTCCCTATGTAAGTAGTATCTACACTAGTAGCTATCTACGTAGGTGTGCATTCATGTGCGTTGATAAAATCACAATTATGAACTTGACATTCAAACATTTAAAATTCAAACACGTCGCCATCGCTCCTCTTCATGAAATGTACACTCATATTGGAGCCGTGATCTGGCAACTACTTGTAAACGACCTTAATTTTTATGCAAATCTAATCGTATAATGTAACTAAAGTGCGCGGTAGTTCAATGCTACTCACTCTTAGTATGTGCTTTGCAATTTGGATTAAATATATTGTTAGTTGGAATATGTTTATATCTGTTCCAATAAAATGTAGCTACATAAAATGATATTTTACTTCTTTTGTCCTTCGTATATAAAATCCCAAGACTAAGTACTTAGTCCTCGGAAATGGGTAAGAGATGATTGTCATATTACACAAGTCATTAACTGGGGGGGGGGGGGGATGTTGTTATTAATGAGGACCATACCAGTCTCATTGCTAGCAATATACTCTGTCAGGTCGATGTCCACGTTGTCCCCCCTGGAAACAAACGTGCTAAATTCCAGGCGTATTCATCACGGCCTGATCATAACTGACCTGCCTGGAGGGAAAGGGATTGTTCGTAATGGAGACTAAGAATCCCATTGCTAGCAATATCAACCAATTGCTAGCAATATGTATCTAAAGTTTATATATTAGTTAATAAGTTTTGTAAGTAGAAGAGGGCCCAAGACTTCACGACACAGGGAATCCTAGTGTGAAGTTTTGGGAACAAATGTAAAATTGAAACATTTATTTTTTGACCTAATAAATATTATTATTGTTTATTGTTTTTAATATACCCAACCAGGTCGACCTCCTCGCGGTTCCCTCTGGAAACTAACATGATTAATTTCTAATGAATTCATCATGATGGGCTAAGTGGCCTGTTTTCGTCCTCATCGATCGCCCTTCACTGGTGCCCCGCTAGCGTATCCCGTTAGCACAGCGTCATCCAATAAAAAAACAGACCTGCCTTTTTATTCTCACCTATCTCTAACATATCATCCCTCACAGGTGCCCCGCCAATGTATACCGTTAGCGCTGACGGAGTTATGATTACATTTTCGTCCTATTAAAAGGTCTCGAACCACCAACTTACTAAACTAGCCCAACTAAAAATCTAAAACAAGCCCTTGAGTTTCCTTAACATAAAAAAGCAACAATGCAATCAAACGCATTGTTATCCCTTTCTGCTATAGACAACAAACCTTCGAATTATCAAACAAACATAATAGCGACTATTGTCCGATATCTAGTGAATAATGCTATGCTAAATGACCACGCGATCAAACATGTGAATGCTGAATACATGTGTTTGTTCGCTTGTCTATTACAGCACACTTCCGCAATTTAAATTAATATGCATCAAGCGTTTATGTGTAACGCGAGACTGGCATCCATTGTACAGCGACATTTGACGAATCTTTTCCAAAGACTTTGTATTATAGAATTTCATTTTTCCATCGTCAATTGTGTGCATAATAAAATATTTATTTATTGCAAAAGAAACAATGGCTGAAATGATTTAAAAAATAATATTAAAAAATATATATAATTCATATGATCACTTCTATCCATCACTACAATAGTTTGAAACAACGATTAAGTACAATTAAGAGGTTCTCCGAATGCCAACCCGCCCGCCAAGCGTGGCAACAACTAGTATCCACACCCGCCCTCCTTCCCTCAGGGGTTCAACAGTGGACAGTTCAGTTAACGGCTAACATAACAACAATAACAATAATAAGAGGTTTATTAATGAAAATATGCGAGGGCCATAACCTATGATTTTATGATACCAGACAATAAAACATTTTCTGTACTATTGTACATTAGATAAAATTTGAAGACATCTATAAAACAAAAGGGAAACAATATTTTATTTCTTTCTTATTGTAGTAATTGGATTCATAGGATAAAAAGCCAATGTCTTGAGTAAATATATATTAGTGAACAGTTTTTGTAAAGTCTTCAATTTTACATAATATAATCCATGTAGGTACCAATAAATCTACTATCATTTTTAATAAAGCCTTTTAAATATACACTAAAAAAACATTGAAATCCACTCATAATGTAATATTCAAAATGTAATTATTTAAATTCTTCAATGTTTTAACATCAGGTAAGCATCGAATCAACAATTACGGAGAGTTAAAAAACAACATCCAGGTTTTTGCTCCCGTCTGTCCCGACGACCTCAAAACCTGTTTTGCTCGTTTAACAAAGTGCCTTTCACTGAAAAATCATAAGGAAAAAATCGAATAAAACTCGAAATTCATATTCAGTAAATTCAAAACACATTGACGATCCACCTGAGGGAAAATAATAACTATCGCTTACATCATAGAGTCCCAAACTATTTTGGTCAAGAGACCCCTAGTCCAAAATAAACTTATACCTCACCCATAGCGAAATTACTTTAAAAATCTTATGTCTAGTTTAGTCGATTTTTAGTTCTTCCAAAATCAGTTTTCACCCCTGAGAAACCGATTTTGATCCCAAGGGGTGGATATTGACTATTGTCGAATCCTTAGCTTACATGAACAGTACAATAAACATGATAAAATATACTGTGACGCTCATGATCAACTTCATACGTTGCCATTCTTGAGGACTGACTAAGAAGACTGGAACAATGTTTCCCTCTGGTGAATGTACTCCTTGTTTAGAAATTGACTTGCAAAACTATATCATATTACGTAAGTAGGTTCTAGGTAATCAGAAACTCAAACTGGTATTGAACATTGATAGCGTAATTGATCGTAGATACAAAGCGAATATGCCACTGCCAAGAGTATTACAATTTGGCGCCTAGCGTTCCGTTGACATACATTCGGAGACAAACATGCGAACAGATCGAGGCACGTGTTTATCGCGTCCTATAAGTGCTGTCATAAAAATGTATGTAGATGATTTTAAATTTATTTCTTTATTACGTTAAAACTCTTTGACGATTTATTAAAATATCAATCAATATATAAAACAGAATAATATTCGCAGTACGCTCCCGTCATAGAATGACCAAACTTTTTCTGTCCCGTAGGGTGTTTTAAGAGGGGACTAAGGGAATTTATTAATCGAGGAATGGGCAGCAGTGCCCTCTTAATACATCACCAAAACCTAATTGCGGTTGCCAACCCGCTCGCCAAGCGTGGTAACTATTGGTAAAGTCTATCTTATAGGGGAAGCCTATATCTAGTAATGAACAATTAACTGCTGCTATTATAATAATAAAAAAACAAAAACCGCTCTATTGGGATCTCTATATAACCGCTATAATGGGAAATAAGTATTAGTGTACGCGCTTTATATCTATTGGAAATTGCAAGTTTTGAAGTATTCGTTCTGGATAACTTTTGTTAATACACCAGAAGGAGACTTTGTACAAAAGTCGATTGCTTGGGTACCTCTGTCCCATTCGTGTTTCAACTGTGAAGCAGTTGTGTTTGCATGGCTGTGTTTCGGTTTGAAGAGTGCGATATGGCGTGAATTTACTGGGTACAGATGAATAACACCTAAGTCCTCAGGAATGGCAACGCATGGGGAGTATCATGGGCGAAACAGTATACTCTGTTATGTCCATGGTACTGCTCATGTCTATAGGCGACGGTTACCACTTTACATCAGGTGGGCCGTCAGCTTGTTTGCTATTCTAAGTTGTATAAAAAAAAACACCTAAAGTGTTAGGGGTTGTTAACTTGAAATTTTGAATAAGATTCCTTTTTAACCGACTTCAAAAAGGAGGTTCTCAATTTGCTTGTATTTTTGTGTACATATTTATAAGATTATTTTTAGATAGGTGTGTTATCATCATTCACTATGAGAAAATTTTCCGAATTTCCCATTGGAACGTAAAATAAAAAGTTTCACGCAGACGAAGCCGCGGTAATTAGCAAAATATTTTTGTCTGCCTGTGCGTAATATTTTCGCTTCTAAACTTCGCAGTTCAGAAATAAACACAAATTGGTTTGGCTGCGTAACCAATTTATGTGAAAATTAGAATAGAGAGAGCTTGAAAACCAAGAATAGTGAATATAAATATTAAATATTAAAGCAATTTAAATTAGATGAATATGTAAATAAATCCAGACCAAAAAGTATAAATACACAAATAAAAACTCATAAGTATTCATTCAATCACTCCAGCTCTCTGCCTGCCCTATTATGGGCATAGCATGAAGATGTACTTAATTCGCATTCGGTCATATCATACGATATTATAATTCCTAAATTATAGCTCTGCCGGCTCTATTAATGATGATAGAGCCGGTAGAGCTCAACATTCATCCAATCCATATCTCTGCCGGGCCTGTAACCAAACTAGCGTGAAGATAGATTGCATCCAAAATTAATCACGTGTAATAGATCCTATATTAATATTTGTAAATAGTTTACCTTTACGTCTTCCGAATGGTCCGCAAAACGATTTTTCCTTTCCAATAACATTGTCATCGATGTATTTGATCAACATAGCAACGTCATCAATCTTGTTCACATGGGAGTAACTCCCCCATCTCGACGGTAGGTCCTCTTGCATGGATTCTGATTTACCTTTTGTGCCTTTTGATTTTTTTAAAACACTTGTCATATTAACGTCACATTACACAATTATACGCGTTTGTACAAATAGAAATCTCGCAATTAACACTGTTTTGTTTACTTAATACAGATTGCGACACCACTGCGTACGCTACGTTAATAATATCTCGTTTTATAAATACAGTTTACGCACGCACAAAACGCACTCACGCCGCGGCGACTGAATCCCGAATGCGAGTCTATGATGCGATCATACGATGCGAGTGAGCGTGGGTAACCTTGCTCGTGGACTCGACGCCGCATACTACGGTACTCAACTCGCGGTACAAAATGCCAGAGTTCTATGTAACGCCAGAGGTGCCAGAACCATGCGCGTTTTCAGTGTTGCCATGCCTGAAAAATTATATGAATTGGTACAATTTTTTATTCGTTAAGAAATATCGTTGTCATTTTTCATTAACAACGCACTGCTGAGAGGAAATATCTGTCTGCCTACAAAAGATAAATATACTGTATTACTACGCACGTGACTTAATAAATATATGAAGTTCTTCTGCTTCTGATGAAGCTCTAAAATACCTCACATCATCATTCTGTTATATACTAATAATTCAAGGTATCTCCACACTGGTTAGGTTCACTTTGTAACCGTCGAACCTTTTTAAACAACACAAACCCATGTAGCTGTTAGAATTTCAACACCAGTTCCTTCCATCATCTATTTACATGACTTCATTACCTTCTATTAGTTATCTCACTTCATCAATCTTATTCATTAATAAGTCTTCTTCATAATTATGATTCTGACTATGAGCAGCAAGTAGTAAACAGTTGTTTGAGAATGATCATCTAATGACAAGAGTTTCTAGACAGCCCACGTTGGACATCAAACTTTAACACAGTCAGATACTAAATGAAACCAAGAATACTAAATAAAAATATCACTAACAAAAAAGGAATACTAATTTGAAAGGTACTAAATCATCTTATAAACATAAGTCAATTTTGAAAAGTTTAAATAATGAACTTTACTGAGATTGGAAATCCAGGAACTTATTTTATGTGAAGCGTGTCACCATGATATTATAATTATAGAAGTATTTAAAAGTCGAAATAATAATGATCATAGAGTTTAAACTTATCCCCTTATTCATAAAAACATAAAAGCTCTCATAAACCTCTTTTAGTATTATTTTCTTTAATATTATTTTCTCTTAGATTAATTTCTCAATTTGAAAGATAATGATAAAACACTAATTAATAACATAGATTTTTAAGACGTTTAAGTTTTTAAAAATAAGGGGGTAAGGATTTAAAGTTTTTCAAGTTCTATGTGAAAACGACATCTAACATTTATTTTAATAGTTCTCTACATTATCGACAGACATACAAATAAACAGACGCAGACAGAAAACTTATACACAATATTTTCTATATTATGTGTACGTATATGTATACTAGGTTATTATAATTCTAATAGTTAATAAATCTTGATTTGTAATAATTTAGGAAATGTTCCACAAGATAAAGTCGCTTGAGTATAGTAGAACAGTGCAGTTTTTGTCTATCAACACGGTAACACAATTAAATATCATTGGAACGATTACTTAAGTAATATTTTATTCTTTTTGATGTCATAAAATTGGAACTATCACAATAATCAGCGTAACATAACCCATTAACGTTTTAATATTTGGCAGAAGTCTCACCCAAAAAAATATTATAGCCGACTGTTTCTGAAATTCCTTTCAATCGAGCTTTGTTTGTTTAATTGCTGCATCATCATCATAACATCATCCCATTACTGGCCCTTCGTTTATCATCATAAGAGGATTAACCTTCTATTACCACTCTGGCTTTGCGGCTTGATTATTTTATATATATATATTTTTTATACCACTGAGTTGGCAAACAAGCATATGGTCCATCTGATGGTAAGTGGTTACCGTAGCCTATGAACACCTGCAATACCAGAGGTATAACGCGTGCGTTGTCGACCCTGAAGAAACCTCTTTACCCCCCTTTTGAAGAACCCCATGCTGTGTAATTATATTATATTTGTTGAAGTTTTAATACTGGCTGTTAACACTGAGGTTTTTTAGAACAATGTATTATTTTTAAGTTTGTTCTGTGTCAGATTTTTATAAGACATGTCTTGTATTTTTTCACTAAACTTATTATTTTATATCTCAAATACATATATGTTTTATTGCTACATCCTGCTATTTACAACAATATTATGTTATTATTATATTTTATATCGAATTTTTCTTCTCTTGCCCTGTTGCTTTATTACTTTAGATACCTCTTACGATATCTTTACCATCTCCATATTGAGAGTTGTTACATTGCTTATTTTCTATTAATTCATTTAATTAAAATGACTATATGAATTAAATGTGATAAGTCAGCTATGTTTTTTTTTATATCATGAAGGCGGCAAACAATCATACAGCACGTCTTATGGTAAACAGTCATTTTAAAATAAATAATTTTAAACAATGGACGCTTGCAACAGTTTAAAAAGAAAGATTATTCTCTTCTTATTTTGTTTCTACCTTATTTTTATTTACTTCCAGCTAATTTCTACTGTCTATCTATCTTCGTTATAAATGGAAAAATATTTTTTATATAATTATAAACATGTGTATGAACACATATATTTTATATGTGATGTAATTACTACATACGCTATAATAGTTATAATAATGATTTATTTTTCTCACATCTTTATATGCATATATATATATATATATATATATATATATATATATATATATATATATATATATATATATATATATATATATATATATATATATATATATATATATATATATATATATATATATATATATATATATATACATTTAGTATTAATATTTAAATATCATCTACCTTCATTGTTCTTTTACTGAAAGAAAAAAAAATCCATATCCGTCATATCGTCGTCCAACATTTTATCGAAATTGGTTTAGCTGGCACATAGATCAAAGCAAACACATGTAAGTCTAAGTACAAATTACCTCACCCATATATAGATATATCCTTTTTGATGCAATTAACACAAAAAATATTGAATCATATATATACACCAATGACAACGTCATTAAAGAAGTTTCCATGACAACGTAATAATTTTGTACAGAGATTTGTTCGATACAGGATATTTTTTATTCCCGTTTTTGAAGTTTCCCCTCGTTTTATTTCTCGTTACAATGTTAAAATTGCAAATATCTAATGAAAGTGATCGAAAAGAAGCTCAGAACAGAGAGAGAAGGAGGCAGTGCGAACTCGAAAGAAGATCCAGGATTTTTAATGCCAGAAATAGGAAAATTGGCGTAAGCGAACATCTAATAAATTTTCTAAAATATACGTTGTATTGAATTAGTCTAAAAAGATCAAATTCAATTGATGTTACTTTGAGAAATATATTTTTGAAATTTAGGTTCTATAAACGACATTCCTTATGTTTTGATTATTTAATCTGAGCTCCACTACATAGTGCATAGATTACATAGCTGTTTACATAGCTGTTATAATTTAAATAGTCGGACATGGCAGTAAAATTACTGAGTATAGAGGCATAACACCATAAGCCCTTTAACAATGGGAATACCTAAAGGGCGCCATTGATATCGCAGTATGTTCTATTAATTCCATGATGCTGTTCATGTCTATATGCGACGGTAATAACTTTCATTAAGCGAGCTGTCAACTTATTTTAAATTATATAACAAAAAAACAATTTTGTACACCGCTCTACCCACTGACATTGATGTTCCTTTCCACATTGGGTTGCTGGAAGAGAACTCTTTTAGAGTTAAGCTCGCCTTTGTACGTATGCTTCTCTCTGTTATATTTATTATGTATTATTAGTATATACAATAAAGTTTAAATAAATAAAAATAAAAAAAATATCTATAAATACTTGAATTTATATTTACTTGTTTGTTTATTTATTTATTTAAACCCTAATGCACAGTAAAATTCTATGTAAGTACATTTTTTTTTACTCAAACTACCATCTTAATAATAGCTCGAAGTAATTCAAAATGTCTAATATCCCATCTTTCTCATTAAAGAATATAATATCTCATAATTATTCCTTTGTTGCAAATATGTACCATTATTTATTTATTCTTATACGTATGGCTCATTCGCCCAGCCATTTTCATAAGAATGCCCGTTTGTTGTTCCCATTAAAATAATAAATGACCACATACTCGATGAAATGTGATAAACAATGCCTATAAACATGGTTATTACTATGAACATAACAGGATATGTTTTTTCAGCCATGGCGTCTCATATTCGTTGCTACTTCTAATAAGTAATGATGCATTTACACCATCCAAAGTGGGGTACTGGCTTGTATGCTAGCATACCCTTAGTAATATTACAAATAATAATATCTGTAGCTGTAGATAAACCGTTTTATATATAGATAAACTATTTATAATAATTTCAATTTTTTACCGCATTACCAGTTTGACTTTACAAATATCGTAAAATTGTAATTTCATGCTTAATAATAAGCTTAATTTTCGCAGCATAACAAGATCTGGGATCATAGATAAGTAGCAAACGGATTTTTCAATGGAATTGTAAACCATAATTTGGAATGAGACTCGTACGTTGCTATCTCATTTTATCGCTTGCCACTTCTCTAGAGGGCAAAAGCTTTTTGGCAAGGGGCAATTAAATAAATAAAATAAATTTACCGACAGGATTGTTTTGGTTAGCGTTCACATAAGAAAGAACAAGACAGCCCACATCGCAATCTCATTACATCTCATAAACTTGCTAGCTATAATAATTATACCAATAGATTCATTTATACTTTGTCAAGTTCCCCTATACAAAGGTACTATGGAATCTAGCGGTAGCTACGTTTCCCTTAGCATACGCATAAGAAAAAAGATACCGGACGTTGCTGTCTCATTTTACGAGTATCTATTACACGCATTGACGATAACGTATATATTTATTTATTTAAACTTTAATGCATAGTAAAATTCTATGTACATTTGGCGGACTTAATACCGAACGGTGTTCTCTACTAATCATTGGGCAAACCGAGAAATAAGTAGGCGGTACATTATTGAATAGAGGAAAAATATGTATTTAATTTGCAATTTATATTTAAAAGTTAGTTTGCTTATATATCTATGGATTCATTTTCCAATTCTGCTTGTAAAGCGGATCATTCATCTAAATGCTTATAATACCCATAATATCATAATAATATCAATTACACTACAAGTTTAATACATTTTAAACACATACAGGTAGATGTCCCATTCTTAGAGCGTCAGATAGCGGAGAAACGAGTAGAACGTGATGAACAGGAGCGACGGGATCTTGCGTTCGCGCAGCAGATGATCAAAGACAGCAACCTCGCCGTCATACTAGAGGCTAGAGAGAAAGAGGCAAGTACATTTTATACACTAGTAGTGAATTTCCAAGGCTTTCTTCGTAACTTTTCCAAAAAGTATAATATTTACTATACATGTACAAAATTTAGTTTATATTCATCGGTATATATTCAGTATGATTACTATTAAACATTCAAATATCTTTAAAAGAAGGACTCACTAAAAACATGTTTTTAGCTAAGGCCCCTAACTGAACTACGGTGACAAGATTTTAAGAATATCTATGAGGAGCATAGATGAATTCTTACAGGAGCGACGGCGAATCGATGTGGAAGTTAACCAGTTTCGACAAAAGTACCAGCGCCCGGAAGACCGACGAGAGTTTGATTTGAACGATCCTGATATTCTGAAGAAGCAGTTGCCGCCAAGAGCTTCCGATGGCGAGCCGGTGGGCCTGTCCAGCGCTCAGAAGTTAGTCCATCCTATACTCCTATTATTTATACATGTTTTTATGGAATTGAAAGTAACAAATCTGATGGGAAACGGTAACCGCTACCTATAAACGTGAACAATAAAAACGTAAATAATAAATATATACTGTGATGCACATGACACTCTCATGCATTGTCATTCTTGAGGATTGAGTTTGACTTTATACCTTGCAATTTCACTGCTATATTCTACCTGCCTTACTTTTATACCGAAACACAACCAAACAAGAGAGTGTAGTAGCAAAAATATTTTTTAGTATTATTTTTTATTTATATGCTTATATATATATATATATATATATATATATATATATATATATATATATATATATATATATATATATATATATATATATATATATATATATATGTATTTTGAAAAGATTTAAACTATTCATTCTTAAATGGAAAAAGTGTACAATCTTAAGCTACTGATATTTAAATAAAAATTCTATATTTTTCTACTATTCACAGCTCTAGTTTAGAGGAGGTTTAGAAATGCAATATTTTCTAGCTATAAAAAAATAAAATAAAAAATACTTAATGACGTAACATACCACCTAACCTATCTACCGATTTTTAAATCAGTATACTCATATACCACTAGGTTATACTACATAAAATGGGTAGTCGTAATAAAAATATTAAATAATTCATATTTTTTTTTTTATTTTTACAACACAGGGGGCAAACGAGCATGCGGCTCACCTGATGGTAAGTGACTACTGATCACCCACAACACCAGCGGCATTGCAGGTGTGCTGCCGGCCTTTTAAAAAGGAATATACTCTTTTCTTGAAGGTTATGTTGTCGTATCGGTTCGGAAATACTGCTGCTGGAAGTTGATTCCAAAGAATGGTTGTGCGTGGAAGAAAGTGCCTTGAAAAACGCACGGTGGAAGACCGCCACTCGTCCAGATGATTGGGATGAAACTTTAGTTTGTGGCGGGTTGTAATTATAAAGAAAAACAATGTAATAAATTTCAAATAGTATCCTCAACAATTCTCCTTAAAAAAAAATACACAATAATTATTCTTTTTTATATTTCTACCAGGTTCGAGGGTGAGGATTTGGCTTTAGAGGAACGTCTCAAAATAATGGCTGAGCAGAAAACTGCCTGGCTCGAGCAACAAGTTCAAGAGAGGAAAGCGGCTGAGGAAGAAAGAAAAAAGGCGGAAGCCGCCTACATGGTTAGATATATGATTTTGATAGATTTATTCAAAATAAAAAATAAAAGTTGAAAATAAATCAATCATGAAACTTAATTCCAATATTAACTTTAAATCTCTAATTTCTTCTATAATGTCACTGTAACAAATTATCCACATTGTACTTTCACAAAATATGCCTCAGAAAAGACAGCTCAGTTAACCCACAGCACAATGGTAGAGGTGATCACGTGAAAGTTGACCTGACAGGGTATATTGCTAGCAATGGAACTAGTAGTTCTAACAATCTCTCCCCGCCTTTAGTTATGACAATAACTATTTATACTCAGCTTCGATATCACTGCGAATATTGAAAGCCATTGTTAGTAAATCAGTAGACGATGTAGTATTAGAACTTAAAAACTTGTTACAGAGAGACAGTTTTTATAGTAAAGTATACAAGCAATTTTGAGCTTATATTCTGTCCAGATGGCCATTAAAGCCCGTGATGAACGTGCTAGCGAATTGAACAAGCTAGAACGAGAGTGCCGCTACAGACTGGGGCAAGCAAATTTGCGCTACAACGAAGCTTTGGTGAGCGTTATTTTTAAACATTGTTAATATTTTACTAGTTAATTGTATTAATAATTCCCCAACGGATAAGAAGACACAGATTGCCCCTGACGACCTTTTATTGGTTATAGGCTCAATTTACAAAACAGACTTAATAAATTAACTAAGAATATACCATTAGGATACCTGATTTTGCAAGAGCAACTTATATAATCATGTAGTATCCTAGTGAAGAACCCTTGTGTGATTATATGTTTGAAAAAAATAAATTTCTATATGTACATGCTTGCCACTCCTATTACAGTACAGAATCAACAAACTGTATTTTTATTTCCTTATTTGTCAACAAAAATAAGACCGTTGGATCATCGTGATGTATATACTTTTTTCTTTTCGTTACAAAAGTTTCTTACGAATTTATAAATATCAGTTTTTCCTGCCAACCGTGTACATTTAGAAAGAACACATATATAGGTACATATACAGGTAAATTCTATGATGGCAGCATTAAAATATATATAATGCTATATAGATATAATGCTATTTTATGCTGACTTATTTAGATGACACTGAGTCAGATAATTCACCAAAAAATAGGATAAATTTAAAACTTTACTTTGGATTTTTCAAAAACACTTTAGTTTTGTTGCAACTTACCAACCAGCATTTATAAAATAAAAATACTCATATATTCAGGCAGCGGAAAAGAAGCAATTGGAGCAGATAATGAAAGAGCAAGAAGAAGCGGATAACACAGCCGAAATGTACAACAATCTCACATCGGATATGCTAACGGAGAATCCAGATGTTGCCAAGAGCGCACTTGGTAAAAACAGGTATCTGTGTTCTATTATGGAATATTTTAAACATTATTTTGTTTGGAGAAGATCTAAAGAAAATAGAAAGTAGATTCCAGGAGTTTTTTAATGGGTGAAGATGAAAGGAGAGAGAGAGGAGAGACTTTGTACAAAAGTCGATTACTTGGGTACCTCTGTCCCATTCGTGTTTCTACCGTGAAGTAGTTATGTTTGCATGGCTGTGTTTCGGTTTGAAGGGTGGGATATGGCGTGAATTTACAGGGTACAGAGGAATAACATCTGAGTCCTCAGGAATGGCAACGCATGGGATGTATCATGGGAGAAACAGTATACTCTATTATGTTCATGATACTGCTCATCTCTATAGGCGACGGTTACCACTTTCCATCAGATAGGCCGTCAGCTTGTTTGCCAATCTAAGTTGTATAAAAAAAAATAAAAAATGGCAACCCCGCCTACGCTATCGGTATACACTGGCGGAGCACCAGTGAGAGATAATAGATGAGGATAAAAGCAGGTCCATTGGCCCATTGTGACGAATTCATCTATAATTAATCACGATGAATTCCAGGGGAAACCGCGTGGAAGTCGATCTGTTAGGATATATTGCTAGCATTGGTGCTGTTAGACCCCATTACTAACAATCATTTTCCCCCCGGATTTCAAGAACTAGGCTCTAAAAGAAGTAGAACATCAATAAACTAAAAATCGGCAGTTATATTTATTTATCAAGTAAAACATGCATAAATATTGCCACTAACGATAGTTGGCTGTATACGGCAAACATGTGATAACATACTAGTTACATGGATACTGCTTAGTTATTCGAAATAATAATCGTTATAGAAAAATTACATTCCACACTGACACCCTTTTCAAAACTAGTGCATAGAGAAATCCAATTAAAATCACGAAATAACCAATTAATTCTAAAATAACTTTTTGACAGTTGATGGCTACTATCTTATTATTTTATACCGTCATTATATAGCCATAGTACTAATAGAAATAACGATTTTTTTTATTAAAATCTATGAAACTCTTGACGTCACATATTGCACCAAAGACTTAAAATATTATCCTCATTTTCGTCGACAGTCGAGTAATAAAATTTTCTGGGCTAACCCGAAACCCACTTGTAATATTTTCCCGCTTTCACATTAGTCAGATTTTGAGAATTCTAAGAACCTTGGTAAATGTCCGCATGTAATGCCTATTATTTATTGCGATGAAATGAAAAATGGGTCAGTAAGACGTACTAGAACGTGCGTACATGCAATCGATGTCCGAATACCAAAAATAAGAAGCAAAAAATTTGATAGGCATACTCCCTCTGTTACAAAAACTTTTTATTGCGTCTCACAAAATATAGTTAATTATTTTATAATAGGTGTTAATTATCTGTGGAACTACGTACCTAAGTAATATCTACAATTTAAACCTTATAGCAGAGATATTTTTAAGTCGAAAGACTTAGTCATATACGCTGAATCAAGATAACCGTATGATTAATTTGTTTGAATTGATGTAAATTAAATTGTCTCTTTTAGAGCTATCGGCTTTATGTACAAAGGGATGAATCAGGAGGAGCTGAAGAAATTCTATGCGGCACAAAAGGAACAAATGGCAGCGGCTAAGGTAAAAAACTAAATTAAAAAAAATAACAAAAAACACATGCTTAATAAGATCTAAAAGATATAAAACAATTAGATTTAGTTTACATCTACTATTAAAGACTCCTTAGTTGTCTTTCCAAGCGGTAAATTCATAGTAAATCTTAGAGAAGTAGGAAAAGAATTCAAATTAATTCGGTTATTCCAAATCCACTTAGGTATCTACGAACATTAGAAATTGAAGCCCAAATTATGAACATCAATAAATTAATATATTTATTACACTTACGACTATAATTCCTAATAAGGTAGTCAGAGCCATTTGCCGTCTATTCATGTTAATTTGGTATTAGTGTGACTGTAATAATTGATATGACATTTCGCAATGTATATTGAGATCCAACGTGGCATTTGTTAACGCCATCTCTTGGTTTAATTTCGTTTATTGTCAATGTTTTCTATCATTCGAAAAATTTAAAAAATATCTCTATTAGATTAGAACTCACGACCTTTGTGGTCTACCACAGAACAATGACGCTTTCTCGCTCACGACAGATTTACTAATGTAACCATGATTAATAATAATGCATAAAAGATAGAACGCAACTTAAAACGAGTCTTTAGAGGACGTTAGAGAATAATAAAGATCTTCATAATTTTTTAGGCTAAAAGAGATGCACAAGACAAAATGGAGGCTGAATGGCAAGCACTTGCCAAATCTATACAGAGAGAAGTTGCGCGCCAGGATATCGCCGATCAAAGGACAAGGAGGTATTTGAATATCAAAAGATTACTTGTTCTTTTTTTTTTAAATGTAAGCATGTAATGTACACATTACAAACGTCCATGGTACTGTTCGTGTGAATAACAGTTACCACTTTTCATCAGCTGAACCGTTTTTTTTAATGAATGGCAATAGTAAACCCCGCCTGCGCTAACGGTATACGCTGGTGAGGCACTAGTGAGGGATGACAGGTGAGGATAAAAGCAATTCAGTATCTAGAATTCAGCGCGACGGTTTCTGCGATCTGGTTGGATATATCGCTAGCAATGGAGCCTTTAGTCTCCATTAGTAAAAAATCCCTTCCCTTGGTGGGCCGTTAGCTTGTATACCATTATAAGTTACATAAAGAAACTAACTTGACAGACGTCATTCTTTCAAAAGATATTTCATGATGTGTTTAACGTCCATATTTAATTGAAATGTTTTAATTGGTAACCTAAAACAGTTTATATGGAATAAAGTAAAACCAGATTTTTATGTTTTTCGCGGCAATTTTTATAAATTATTCTGTAGTCGTTAGTTGGATACGTTTTGTTCTAATTAAGTCGCAAAGAACTGATTTTAACATTTACACTCTATGCTGTATCCTGTTAATATTATAGAAAAGGACGCAAGGATAGATAGTTGAATCGATGGAGATGAATATTTGGTACTTTTTCCCACAAAACTGAACGAATTTGAATGAAATTTGGTACACGGGTTCCTACCTATAAGTATGTCATAACTTAGCACATAGGTTTTTTTATGTACTAATTCACGCGAGTAAAGATGCGATCTACAACTCTACAACTAGTATTATAAAAAAATTCCCGCAGAGACATCGCCCGTCAGCTCATGGAGGAAAACCAGCTGCTAGCTCTCCAGCAGAAGGAGAAAGAGAAGTATTACCGCGAAGTGGTGTACAGTAATACCCCAACGGACGAATACTACGCACAGTTCAACACGACTACCAGATAATGAATCATCGTATATGTATATTTTAGCAGTTGATTTACTGTTTGTGAACAAATTAATTCTTGATCACTACAATGGCTCATCTCAAGGGTGCATTAACATACTGACAATTTAAAAACAATAATTTGACATTTTGTTCAAAAATATTTCAGCTTTGACGAAATTAATTCAATTTAAACAATTCGAAAGAACTCTTTCATTAAAAATAGATTTAACCAAATTGGGTAAGGTTTTGACGATAATATTGTGTAATAAAAAGTACAGTCATCTTGGAATCGTCTATGTCTGAAGTTGATTAAAATTAGCGCCAAAAAGATTTTAGCGTATAATACATAAAGTAATAAAATATTTAGTGCTTTCAATTTTTAAAGGCGAACAATGTTACTCTTTGTGTGAATTTCACTACAATTTTTTTGTTCTAATATGAATGACGTATGTTAAATGATGAATTTGAATCAGATATGTAATGAGATAATAATCTGAAAATAACGAGTGTTTTATTAGAACATTTAGATATTACCTCGTCTTGATATTTAATTTAATTTTAATAAACCTGTTTATTTCTTACCTTATATATTTATTTAATCCCTAAATAATATAAAACAACGTCACTGGCAGAGTCTTTCTTGTTCTCTACTTCTTGTAAACTACACAACTAGTTCTGACACGGATTTCTCTGACATTTAGACATTTTTTTAAAGATCTATTATGCTATTTATATTCTTTATGTTCTTTATATTTAATTTTTATATTTACATTTTAACTTTTGTATTAGTAGAAGCCCGCCGTGTGATTCCAGCATAGAATGGGGTACCCCTTCCTTTCCCGTAGGTATCATAAGCGGCTAATGGTGCCGTGGGTGTCGTAAGAAGGGATACACAGTAACGTCTATCTTAAAACATCACCAAAGCCTAACTGCGATTGCCAACCCGTTTGCCAAACATGGCAACTGTTCGTAAAACCCCCCAATATAGAGAATATAGGTACAGCGGTGGACAATTCATGGCCGATACTACGATGATGATAAGTGGAAAATTCAATATTTTGTAATAAATTACACCCGTGCGAATCCGGAGCGAATCGCTATCATAAAAATAAAACAATTTTGTCTGACAAAAAATAGTATTTATTTGGAAAAATAAATATTAGAAGCAAATATTATAAAATAAATATATCACATTACACAATATTAATGGAGATCTAGAAAACCTAATTACATATATTTAACGTTGCAAATTTTATTTGCAGAGACTACGAGAACAATTGGCACTTCGTAATATTGAGATCGATATTATGACTAAAACATCTATACAGGGTGTAACCAAAATAATCATCATACTTACAAATGGGGTTCTCAGTGAAAATGTGCCATTTACCCTTATATATGTAGGTCGTAAAATGACAAAAATTTTGAGCTCTTGTCTACATCATTTGTTGATACTCTAAGACTTTTCACGTTTTAGATGACTTGTAGCTTGTTTAGTATAAGAGATTCAAGTTTTTTGCCGTTTTTACGTACATTTCTGTGGAACACATTTTCAATTTTGGACCTTTAAAGGATGCCAATTATTTTGATTTCATCCTGTAGTTATAATATTAGGCTAATTCTTGATGGTGGCCATCTGAACCGCTATGCGTTCTAATGTTAGGCCTATAAATCTTTAAAAGATACAGAGAGGAGAAACAAATGAGCTCAGCTCTTCTCTTTCTTACACTGTGAATTTTTAGAAATAGATACTTATGTATAAGGAAATAAACATTATTTTCACACGGTTTTACTTCACAGTGCATATACCTTCATACATTTCCAACTGATTTCCGATTGCGAACCTGTATACTATAGTTTATAACTAAAAAAATTACAAAAACAGCAAGTAAAAAAATAAACAGCTCCAAACCTACATTCAATCAATCGTCGAGTCCTCTACTATGTTAGCTACTAAATTCATTTGAGATCATTATGCATACTTGTTAAGTACTCTAAAATACCTTGTCACCATTCAAATAAAATCACGAATATTTTCAGATAGTATAAAATGATAAAATTAATCTTAACCCCTTAAATACCTGAAGTTTCAAATTTGATATCGGGGTTATAAATCGCATTGGGCACCTACAATCGATTTTATTTTAATATTTGTCTGTTTACATGTTACTAAATGTTTTTTTTTTTATTTAAGTAAGTATATAATAATATCGTTTCCATTTTTTTACTATTTTTCCCCATTAGTAAACACAGTAAAGGGTACACTTACATATATATTTTTAGTTTGATTTAAAAATCAGGCTTTTAAGGGTTAATATGTTTGCTAGTCCCACTTTACAAATGAAAATATATTTAAAGCAACAACCAGTAACCATTTACCGTCAGAGAGGCCGTCTGTTTGTTACCACCATCGTACAATAAATAAAATTTCCTTTAGACCATAGTGAAGACAAAATAAAAATTAGTAATGCCACCATATTTAACAAAGATTAGCTGAAAATTTTAAACTTTTATTAAATTTTGTCATGTAGCACATTACTCAATCTATAAAAATGTATTAAAATATGTGCAGTTAAGAATTATAACAGAATTATTTCATTTTGTATTAAAAAAATTACTTCAATTGTGACAAAACTAGTTATTTTTATCTAAAAACTAAACTAATGAACCAATTTTGATAAAATTACTATGAGACCAATTTAAAAGTAAGTTCCTTTAGATCAAAAGAAACATTTTCAAAATTAATTTAATTTATAAAACGACTGAGTTATGAGATAAGAGACGTAAAAAAATACAACCGAATTTAAGACTACCCCTTTTTTAAAATATGTAAGTATTTCAGACACAAACATTGTTAGTATTCTAGTGTAAATCATATTAATAAGAGAACAGTTAATTAAATTATTGTATCACACGTAGGTATATTTTTGTAACAGCCATTAAAAAGCATTTTTTAAATACAACCCCAACTTCATCACCTACTTATTCAAACGGCTTCATCACCGTTATCACCGCACGTACCGTTTATTAGGCCCTTCCTGTGCAAATTGAGAATCGAATCCGCTATAATTTTCGCAGTCTTCCTCAAATAGCCGCCGCTAGTAAGCATCACTATTGGGATGCGACGTTCTTTACAACTTTCAAATACGAATTCATCCCGTTTTATTATTCCCTAGAAAAAATATAATACAACATTAGTTGCAATTCTAAAACATAGTAACAGTATTCTGAACTTGACTTTTGAACTTAACCTAGACCCAAATCAATTTATTTATTTATTAATTTATTTATTTACTTTATTTGCGTTGCTATTCCTGAGGACTCAGGTGTTATCCCTCTGTACCCAGTAAATTCATGCCATATCCCATCCTTCAAACCGAAACACAGTCATGCAAACATAACTGCTTCACAGTTGAAACACGAATGGGACAGAGGTACCCAAGCAATCGACTTTTGTACAAAGTCTTCCTCTGGTAAATTATTTATAACTTATTTATTACATTCACTGAGTGAGCCTTACAGTCTTCCAATACGCCCACCCAGGAAAGCATGAGTACAATAACATATAAAAAGGAATATTAAACAAAAATATTAAACAAAAATACCCTACCAAAAATCGACCCCAGAATCTTATTCATTTAACGTATATAGATTATCCATACTAATAAACTGGCAGAGTTCTACGTTTTATATTTATGTTTTGTACTTGAGTATTTATCAGCTTTAAACCAAACTTTAATAAGGAAAATGATAAGTAACTTATTTAGAACATTTTATAGTTTTGCACACTTAAGTTTATACATCATATCATGTCATACTTAACGCATTATATAAAATACTTATGGTAAGATTATATTTATCATTAAACCTGTGCTGAAATTAATTTAACATATAATTTTTATTAAATATTAAATAGATGTGTGGTCCCGGCGTAGAATGAAACAACCTTTTCTTTTCCGTGAGTGTAGTAAAAGTCAACTAAGGGAACTTAATAGTCGAGGGATGGTGCTGCCCATCCCTCTTAAAAAAACACCATAAGCCTAACTGCGGTTGCCAATTCGCCTGCTAAAAGTGGCAACTACTGGAAAAACTCCACTTATAGGGAAAGAATATAATAGATGTATTTGCCATCTCCTCCTTCTTGCTGGAGTTTTATCGAGAGACCACAGAGTATTTGTGTTCAGACGTTTTTTGTTTGAGTTAATTTTTTTATATTATCCTTGTTATTTATGTAATATTCCTTTTTATATATTATTGTATTCATGATTTCCTGGGTGAGCGTATTGGAAGACTGTAAGGCTCACCCAGTGAATGTAATAAATAAATAAATAGTTTAATAAGAATTAATAATCTAAATGTATATGTAATATGTAAACAGTAGCATAAAAGTTCTTTATTTATTTTCATTCATTCACATTCAGGATGTGAATGTGAGGTAAATTTGAATGCTACTTTTCATACAAATTTATACCAAATCGGAACAGTATACAAGCAGACATGACAGTCACATTTGATATAAAAACACACAATGATAACGAAGATATGATAAAGATATGTTATGTCCATGGTACTGCTCATGTCTATAGGCGATGGTTACCACTTTCCATCAGGTGGGCCGTCAGCTTGTTTGCCATTCTAAGTTGTATAAAAAAAGAAAGATATACAAACTTACAATTTCACTAATCCTCATGTGACCGAGTGGATCCGAGTCTAAAATATCAGTCCCTGCATTGTACACCAAAATATCTGGTTTAAATTCTTTTAGAGCAGCCTTAAGATTTCTGAAAACAACAAAGCAATCAGGTATACGATCTATATGTCGCATAAACTGAATTCCTGCATACATATATTTAATAAACTAATCCAATTTATTAATTAAAAACTAGAGGTCGGCAATATATATATATATATATATATATATATATATATATATATATATATATATATTTTTCTGTTATCAATATCTATATTTTGGCTCAATAACGAATATGTTAAGTGTCTGTTATCCAACATATAATGTCGAAATTAAGAACCCTATCGAAATTTATATATGTTACAGTCAAAACTTTTAACCAGTCTAACGTACTATTAAGTAGCAAAATCAGTCAAAACTACTTTCGACTGAACAAGTTGGTCAAAAGTGGTTTTGACTGAAAATTATTGGTTATAAGTACTTTTGACTGCAAATTTGCGGTTAGGTTAAGTTAGGTTAGGTACTTTTAACTGTTATTTTAGTCAAAAGTATTATTGACTAAAGCATACGGTCAAAAGTACTTTTGACTGATTTTGCTAAATAATACTTTTGACTGGTTTAGAGTTTTAACTGCAACATATACATATCCGGTACGAACGATATCGGAATGAATAATGAACTTTTTTCCACCATCAATGTCCAAGAGAACCCAATATTGGAGCAGTACCAATATTAATATGGTTACCACTTTCCATCAGGTGGGCCGTCAGCTTGTTTGCCATTCTAAGTTGTATAAAAAAAAATTATGGCATTTATTAAAAATCGTAAAATTACACTCGCAACTGAATAGTCATTAGTCGTTTAAACAATGTACATTGTGTCTGAAATAAGGGATAAACATACAAAAATCATTACATTTTCAACGAAACTTTAAAACGACAACAACAGTTTGAAAAAAAATATTTCTTACTGTCTCAACTTGAGCATATATTCCAAATCCTCAACTCTGTTTGCAAGCTCGACCTTCCTTCGTATTGCTTGCTTCGCCTCCTTGTCTTTTGGATAAATGTTACGGTTGTACATATCCATTATATACACTTCTGGTACACCTAGAAAATCGCGTTGGTAGCCATTGCCCTATAAAAATAAAATATTACTACTAATACCGCATTTAAAAATTCTAACACTTCCCTAAGGTTCACTGGGAGAGATACCTTATAATAACGAATATTATTTCTATACAACTTAGAATGGCAAACAAGCTGACGGCCTACCTGATGTAAAGTGTAAACGTCGCCTATAGACATGAGCAGTACCATGGACATAACAGAGTATACTGTTTCGCCCATGATACCCCCATGCGTTGCCATTCCTGAAGACTCAGGTGTTATTCATCTGTACCCTGTAAATTCACGCCATATCCCACCCTTCAAACCGAAACACAGCCATGCAAACACAACTGCTTCACGGTTGAAACACGAATGGGACAGAGGTACCCAAGTAAACGACTTTTGTACAAAGTCTCCCTCTGGTCTAAATAAATAAATATTGAATATTAAATGCACATAAATATTTGTTACAGAAAATGTGTTATAATAAAATCCATGGACAATATTTCAATATTAACTTTTTACTTTCATATCTCCCAGCCTACGCCACAAGGGACCTGAAGTGAATATAGATAGGTTAGGTCAATTCCAAAGTTACAAATATATTTTATCTATTCCTGCAAATCCATACAACATTAATGACAAGTCACTTCTGTTTTTACTCCTTTGGAATGAAATTTCATACAAAACAGACAAGAAAATCTAGTGTTAATTTTAAACTGTGGCGTTGTTTACACATATTTTAAATTCACAATCGGGACTTGACGCAACGCGATTACAAGTATTTTTTTTTAATAGTACCTTTTTTAAAAACCTACACTTCACTTTCTGTTTACTTCAGTACAACCAGCAATAAAAAGCACGTATGTAGATACTATTTATCTATAATCGGTTCGTGTTAAGTTCCGATCGTGAATTTAAATCTTTATTATTTCTTATTTTATCAAAAAAAAAATAATTAAATCATGAACTAATTTAAATATATTGTTATTTCATAACAAACCTGATGAGCGTCCAAATCAACGATCATTGCGTTCTGTATCAACCCATTCATGACGAGAAAACGTATGAGCAATGTGATATCAGCGTAGGGACAGAATCCACCACCTTTATCGCTGCTGCAGTGGTGGAAACCACCCCCAACGTTTATCGCCCATCCTCGCTCCAGAGCCAGCTTCCCAGCGAGAACTGAGCCTCCAGTTTGTAATCTGGATGAAAAAAAAAACAATTTGTTTTTTAAAACTTTGTTCCGTTAAAAAACTAATTTCAATATTGGCGAAACAAAAATGGAACGAACATGATAGTAATTAAACCCTTTTGAATGAAAAATAATTATTAAAATATATTCAGAACTGACAAACATATCGTATAATAAACATAAATACCGTCACACTATAAACTACCAGAGTGAGATTTTGTACAAAAATCGTTTGTTTGACATGGCACCTCTGTCCCATTCGTGTTTCTATTGTGAAGCAGTTGTGTTTACATGGATGTATTTCGGTTTGAAGGGTGGGATATGGCAGTGAATTTACAAGGTGGAAAAGGAAGAACACCTGAGTCCTCAGGAATGGTAACGCATGGGGGTATCATGGGCGAAACAGTATACTCTGTTATATCCATGGTACTGCTCATGTCTATAGGCGACGGTTACCACTTTTCATCAGGTGAGTCGTCCGCTTGTTTGCCATTCTGTTGCATAAAATAAACTTTTTAAAGTTGTTTTATTGTTAAAACTTTCGTAAGCACACATTATATTTTAATGTAACGGTTTAACTTACGTGTGATTTGGTAATATTCAAGTCACAGCCGCTCATGATTAAGGGTACTGAATTGGTACCAAATCTAGTCTTGCTTTCTCGATGTAATCACGCGTAAATTAAACCGATAGTTATTACATTAAAATATATATGAAATTAGTTGAAAATTTAATCAAAATTTGAAACTACAAGAAACTAAAGAAGTAGTAACATTTTCAAATCTTTCGTAACATTATACGTTCATTATAGGTAAAATGTATTAGGTCTAAAATAATATTACCATTGTACATTTTAAAGGCCTGCATCATCAACTAATGCCAAACATGTTTGTCGTCTAAGTAATTGTTTAAACTATAAAACTGTGTCAAGTAACAAAAAAATAGATACCTCATTGGTTTCAAATACGCGCACTGTACAAATACGTTTGGCAAACATGCCACGATAGGTACTTCGGCTATTATTGCCACATTGGTGCTCCACTGGAATAAAAATGTTATCATCTATTAAAAAAAAGGCTAAAAAAGCATATTATAACAGACTAGACATATCTTTGTGAAAAATTAGAGCTCTTCTAACATACTGAGATGAACACCAGACAATTCCGCGGTAGGCATTAATTCCTCCTAAATACAATGATCCGAATCATGCAGTAATTAAAAAAGTTGAAGTTTTAGACACAGCTAATCATTCAGTAATATATTTATAGCATAGCATGGGTTTAAAACTCATGCTATAAGAAAATCCATATCACTGGTTAAAATCCATACTATGAAAAAATCCATATCACTGGTTATTTAGGATTATTTTATTTAATTCTGGTGCCATTAGATTAGTTTTGCAAAACGTGTGTGAACAAAATGACAGTCGGACATTGATGACTAATATGGAAGGTTGTGGAACTTTTGGTAATAACAGTGGTGGCCAATATTCAGTGTTGGCAGTCACATACATACTAATGGTAGCGGAATTAAACAAATTAATTCTAATCATTAACTGTTGTCTTACTTTCAATGATTTGAGGTATCTTTTCGTATGGACAACAAGTAGATCACTCTTTTTTGCTGGAAGTGGTCTCACTAAACAGGCATCAGTAATAAAATCTGCTTCTTTTAAGTACTGGAACAAAAAGTTTTTGCATGTATATTGAACAAAAAAAAAATGACCAGCAAAATAATTATAATTAAATTTTCAATGTAATTAAAAAATACTACATCTAAGATGTGTTTTAACTGGTGTGGATTAGTAAATTTAAAGATTAATACTCCACAAATATTGCAAGAAATTGATAATATTAATAAATGTAATATTTCATTCTGTACTATTCGAACACTTTTGTATAATAACAATTTTTATTATAATTTTACATGTTAAAAGTGTTGGAAGAATAGTATTAAAAGAATAAGAAGAGTTTGCAAAAAGATATATTAATGATAAAGTTATTTCTGGCCTCCTGCTATTTTCTCAAATGAATCAAAATAATTAATATACAGTATAGAGAAAATCTAATATGGAATTAAAAAATGTAAGTTGGATCTATTTTTGTATGAGGTTGCATAAGCATTATTAGGGTAGGAAAAGTTACCATTATAGATTGAATTATGGATCACAAAACATATTAATATCCTATGAGAGAATTTGCTCCAAACTAAAGCAGCAATGTGTTTAAATAATGTTTGGGTATTTTTATGAGATAATGATCCAAAGCATAATATTGATAAGCATGAAATATTAAGGCATGAACAATATATGAAAGATATTTAACACCCTCAATTACTTAGAAATTCCTCACCAATCACCTGATATTAATATTATAGTAATGTTAATTTAAAAACAATCAGTTTCAAACAAAAACAAAAATTACACAGCATAAAGAGTGGGCATTGACACTGTCTTTGTATTTCTATCAAATTGGTTGATTCAATGCTGTAGACTCAAAGTAATTATTGATGCTAAAGGTGGACAACAAAATTATAATTGTTAATATTGTTAATATTTATATAATTATTCATTAAATGTATGCATACTTTTCATTCATAATTTTACAATGCAAAGTTAATTTTTTTTATTATACAAAAGTGCTGTAACTTTAAGATATTTAATAGTATATAAAAAAAAGTTGTTCAATTTTTTCTATTTTTTTAAACAACCCTATGTATACGAATACTTTTTGCACTCATTATGCATATTTTTTATATCGGTCAATTTACATACACCAGTCACTCTCATATAGATGCAGTTAAAAACTAATAATGGTTAAACCAATAAGTATAACAAAATTGAAAACCTATTTTTATACAGCCTATTCATATGATACAAACCGTTTTCTTCCTTACTATTCATTATACGTAACAACAAGCACTTACTTGAATAATATTACGCCATTTCTTAGCATCGAAAACATGAAACTTTTCGAGGCCTAAAAATGATACGTTGTATTTCTCATCATACACCAACGGCCACTGATCCTCTCTAATATCGAAATAAAGACTGAAATTGGAAAATACATGAATAAAATAATAAAATTAGTACGTAATTCTTTTCGTTTCTGCAATTGCCAAGGAAAAATCGAAACTTTTCATATAAACATAACGAAAAGTTCTCTAAGGATATCTATAGACCAACTTACCTAGTCATTATCAAATATGAAAACAATTATTAAAACAGTGCCATGATTTATAGTATATTTGTTTTATTTTTTAATTGAAAGATAGCAAAATTCGAAAATTCTGCGAACTTTGCATATAATACGAATGTCAAATTTTTAACCCAAAATTTGACATTTCTTTTGACACTTACTAGACATTTTCTTGATGCTCACGCACGTCACAACACAAAGATAAATAAGTACGGTATTAAATTAATAAAACATGAATTATAAATTGTATATTTTTTGTAAATTTGTAAGATTTTTAATAAAATAATATTTATTTAGTGTAATGGTTGACGTGACGCCGTTGCTGTATCTTCATAATTTTAAAAGTTGGTTGCCTAGCAACGACTGTCGTCATTTCATCGCGGGAAATGTAAACAAATCGTAGAAATTATTTTCTTAATATAATGTAAAAGTATTTTTATAAAGAATATTTTATAATTTCTGTTTACTATGTACCTGTAGTTAAGTTATTGCAACTTTTATAAACTTACTTCATCAGCAACATTTTTTTATGTTGCTGATACCTATGGACCCGACTTTGGACGCTCTTCAAAGTGAGGTGGAATTTTATCGGGTTTGTTGCATTTTTATAAAGCATAACATTACTTAACATATTTACGTATAATACTATTTCTTTACTTAGGTACATTGAAATATTGGGCTTAAGACAATTCTTGAGCTAGCATTGCTTTCGGATTATTTTGTATAGTATCACGCGCAGTGTTATGAGCTAGTGATAATATCACGTCAACTAAGGTCACAAAGGTTGCGAGTACTATTCTGGCCGAGACCAAAAATTTTGTGTCAATTTAAAATTCCAACTAACACACCAGTTATGATATCCGCCGATAACAAACGACATTAATTCGAAAGATGGTAGTAGACTCGTCCCTTGCCACGATTCTAGGCGAAATATAATACAACGGCAATGGTCGATCACTCTGACTACCCTACTAAGGATTATATTCATGAACATATACTTTTTTATTATAACTTTTAAATACTCGACTTTTCTTCATATACGTACTTATTATAGGCACTTCAAATAAAAAATTAGCCAGAGTCCAATAAATAGATATATTTGAGTCAAAAACGTCCCTAAAGATGCCACCATCTGGGACCGTGACTGTTCATGACGATCACTCTATGATAGCAATATATGTATCTATTTATCTTTATAAAGGTAACTTGTGGCTATGACATACAAACACTCTCTACCACATAGGTTGTTTTATATGGAAAATCTATCAAGAAAAATTGTTATATTTGTCAATACGTATCTAATATAAAATTTCATTACCAGCAAAATCAAACAGCAGTGGAACAAGAAATCAGAACACTGATAGCAGACAATCAAAAGTTGTCCCAACAGGTTGGAGCGTTATTAAAGGAAAAACTTGAGAATGCCAAACAGCCACAGCCCCAGAAATGTGATCAGAACAAGGAACTAGAGGAGCTCAACAGACAAATTTTGTTACTTACTAAGGTTCTGTTTTTGAAATCATTAATACTACGCATATATTAAGGAATATATAGGGCAGGTTTCAGCGCTAACATGTATCAACGAACTGATAAAGATTGTCGGGAGATAATTGTTAGAGTCGCACGAACTCCAACAATTCTCTAAGATTTTTTATTCTGCTCAAAATAAAAAAAAAAAGTAGGTAATGGAGTCTCTTACATGTTACAATAATTATTTCTTATTAGTTGTGACTTGCCCGTCTGACCGGGATATGTTCACTATACATATACCGAGTTAAAAGTAGTTTATAACCTCCATCCCATATTATTACGTGTATATCAAATTCGATATTTGGATTTGGGAGCAAACGAGCATGCGGCTCATCTGATGGTAACCGACTACCGCCGCCCATGATCACCCACAACACCAAAGTCTTTGCCGGCCTTTTAAAAAGGAATATGCTCTTTTCTTGAAAGTTATGATATCTCATCAATTCGGAAATACTGCCGGTTAAGCTGTTAAGGCAATAACAAACAAACAAACTCATTTTCACATTTATAATATTAGTAAGGATTATAAATACAAGCATTTGATGACATTTGAAAAAGGACATATTCAAATCAATTTCCTTCCCTATATTGACATATATAAGAATATTTTCCAAGGGGAGGGGGTGGCGGGATTGCCCCTAAAAAGACACATAGGTATATACCCTCAAATCTGTCTTAGCCTATAGCTGAAAGTATCGCTCCTTATTCTATGGTGAGCACTACCAATCTCTATGCCTATACTCCTATATAAAAGGACTTTCCGACCGTTACTTCATACGTGTGGTTTCCAGAAGTGGAAAAACTAATGGACTGAACTCTTCTAAATGGTTTATCGAGATGAAAAATGCGCCCGTTTTTTAATTAGACCTTCAAGAATGCAACTATGAACATCGCATTCAGTTAGATGAAGTCGTTTTTTTGTGTAATGTCGAAACACATACAGACAGACAAAATGTATATACATTATTGTTTAGGTTTCCATTGGTCTTATGAAGACCTTTCATATTATTATTTTTTAATATCTCTTACGTTCAGACGTCGTCTATTTACAAATTTATTGTATTAGATAAGGAAAATAAGATATGAACATTTTCAGGAAAGAGACTCTTTACATGTGTTGTGGCAAACTTCGCAGAAAACTATTGACGCTTTAGAAACAGAATTAAAAACGTATCACAATTATGGCAATAGAGGAGGACAGGTAAGTTTGTTTACAAGGGCGCTGCCACATTAGTCCACTAGAAAATAATACTATTTACTAAAATTATCAAGATTATATTTGATTTTTTTAATAGCACATTAATGAAGAAAAACGAGAATTAAAATTAAAACTAGAAACAGCATTGACAGACTATATTGAATTGGAAACAAAATATAAAGAATTACATAAAAAGCACAATGAATTAGAAAATAACCTTAATATTAAAGAAAAAGAAATAAACTATTACAAAGAGAGAGGTAAACAATTAGAAGATAAAGTTGATGAAATAACTAAGACATTGGACGAGTACAAATTGAATTGCGTAATAGACAAAAAATGTAATGAGGACTTAAAAAAACAATTATCTTTAAGCCAAAAAGAAAACAATGAAAAAATAAAAAAGGAAATAGAAGCTAAAGCAAAGGTATAACGGAGTAAAATAATAAAATTTAAATAGTCATTCTATTAATTTTTTAAATATTTTTTAGGTAGCAGAAGCATTACAACTTTTTGATTTAGTGTCAGAGCAAAAGAAAGAAGCATATAAGAGAGTTAAAGAAATTTCAGGTAGGTTTGCAATTAATGTGTTTAAAATAAGTTATATAATATTATTTATTCTTAAACATTATTTCAGAACAATTAATCACATTGAAACAGACTTTAGCCAATGTTAGTTATGATATAGAATCAAATTATAAAAAGGAATTAGATGATATAAAAGAAAAATATAATGAGAAAATAGTAGATATGCTTGAACATATAAAAAATCTAGATGCTGAAATAGTTGAAAAGGGATTACTTCTCAACAAAACCTTAAGGTTGGAAACACTTCTTCGTTAATTATATATATATATATGGTGTGTGACTGGTATAAATAAAATGATACTTTTGCAGGGAAAACAAAATACTACAAGCAGCAAATGAAAATTATTTAAAACAACAAAAAGAATGCGATGATACGGTAGATCCCAAATTGACACTGGCTGAGCAAAGACTGGAAGCAATGTTTCAAGAACTGGTTTGTAATATCTCCAAAAAGTTATTCCTGCTTAGTTAAAAAATAGTACAACTCGAAATTATTTTGTAATATCACGTAAAGGTGACTGTATGCTAATATTTAATTATAATAGGTAACATCTGAAAGGCGAAATATTCAACTGGTGTGTGAAAAACAGTGCTTGGCTATAGATATACAAAGAGTCCAAGATATTCACACAAGAGAAAGAAAACGACGAGACTGGGAAGAGAGTCTTTTGAAGACCCAATGTGAAGAATTAAAGTAAGCTGTTTGAAACAAAAGTAATATATTTATGAATAATGTATCTAGTAAATGATTATATTTCTCTTATAGAATGCAAGTGGGCCACCTTCAAAAATCGTTGGATGAAACACATGGAATGATAAATAAATTACAAAGTATGCTATCGTCAAGAACAGAATTAAATCAGAAGTACGTATTCTTGTAATAGTAGCTTCTAAAATATGTAATTTTTTAATAACCAATAATTTTCTTTCAGAATGGTATCAACGAAAGAAGAAGAGTTGATGGAATTGAATAAACATCTGGAAAACCAAATGGAACTAAGTAAAAAGTATGAATATTATTTAATATTGTTTATCCATTTGGACTTTTCATAAATATTATCTACTGAATAATTAAATTGCAATGTTCAATAAGTCAGTCAGTTTATTACATTTTATAGAAATAAGTAGGAAAAAAAATAAAAAGTAATAGCATTTATTCAGCCATGTTTAGATGTTTCTTTTTATTACACCATAACAAGACCATGGTTGAAAAGATTATAACGATATTTTGTGTATTAGTACATTTTATAGTGTTTTATCAGAACCGGCTGGACAAAACATAGGACAACTTGACCCTTTCAATGTGTGAAATCGTGTAGATTATAAAGTCTGAACTCTGAATAATATTAGTATTATAATCATATTTTTTACTAATAATAAACTTAATTTCAACTACTCATAGACGCAAATACTGATTCAGATGGTATTTAATATATCCTTATATTACAGATGGAAGGAGTCTTATGTTGAAATGACAGAAAAAATGAAGAAGAAATTAGAACAGTTGCAAATAGAAAACAGTGAACTGAAATCGAAATTATTATTGCCCCAATCAGAGTCACAAGACAATGCTAGCACATCTAGTTAATAAGGAGATGATTTAATTAATTGTGCAATATATACAAATTGTAATTATATAAATAGTTAATACTGTAATAGATTTATTTACAACATATTTATTTAATTGGAAAATACATCAAATTTTAAAATAATTGTTGTAATCATTATTATTCTTAAATAACATATTTAAATATGTATTATTTTCTATAACCACTATATTTAAAATATTTACAAATAACAAACAAACATCAGTCTATGATGCCAATTAACAATTTATTTCATTATTATATATGCATTTTTATATAATTAATTTGCCGATACACACTCAGCAAACATACTTGGAAACCAGTATAAAGTCTCATTTGAATCCTGTGTATCGACCCATGCTAGACCTTCTTTGACCATATGGTTCAATGCATTTTGAGCTCTGGTTTCATTCCATCTGTAACAAAAGATTCCATTAAGCATCAATATATCTAATATCTGTATGTATGGGGGAGTGAAGGGATTGTTAGTAATGGGGACTACCAACCTCATTGGTAGCAATATACCCTGTCAGATTATCCTCCATGTAGTGCTTCCTGGAAGCTATTGTGCATAATTCTAGGTGAATTCATCATGATGAGCTAACTGACTTGCCTTTTTGTTCTCACCTATCATTCATCACTGATACTTCACCAGCATATGCCATTAGTATAGATGAGGTAACCATTCCATTATCATCCATTAAAAATAAAAGTCTTTATGAACTTGTTAGTGATCTGTCCCGATTTTACAGTCTGAATAAAATACAGCCCATGCTGACTGATAACAATTATCCTTCTATTTTATACATTCCAAAAAAAATTATTTTTTTTAGTTTAAATTATAAAAATAATTAAGAGTCCTATTTGTAAACTCACTCAATACTGAATCAATTTGTCTATCTCAACAATAGCCACATAGAGATAACAATAAAAAGTTACAATTAATGAAACAGCACTTATATACTAATTTTTAAACATATTGAAAAGAAAGAAAATACCTAGATGCACCAAAAAATGAAATAGAATTTTATGATTGGATTTGTTTTGGATTTAAACAATTTCATACATTTGACAATAGAAGCATTATTAAATAGTTACTCATATATTATATACCGACTGTATCCCATCTCATCCACATAAGTACATAATTATCCTATGTACAAAGTTAGGATATAACCTACCTGTGTAACAAATTTAAATCTGTTTAGTAGTTTTTTTTGTAAAACAGTATCCATTCACCCATTGCTACAAATTTTCACATTTATCATATTATAATATATATTTCCTTACCCCAGATCACTGATGAGTATTGTGGTCGACACCCATGCAGTGCCAAGTGAACTAGCCTTCTGAAGAACTTGAGTTTGGTCTAGATTGAGTTCACCAGGGACAGATTGCACTAACCATTTACCTTTGCCTATTGACACTACAGTAAACCTGAAAATATTACATAAATTATAATAAAATTTATAGAATTTTGTTAATAAACATAATTCAAGATTTTCTCAAGAAAAGTAAAAGTATAAATTAATATTTGATTTACATGATTCAAACACTTTTGGTTGCAGAAAGAGGGATCAAAATTGATACAGATATAATACATTAAAAAAAATCCTCCTTTTTTAAATCTTGATAATGATTAATCAAACAATACAAAACAAATTATTAATACTTGCCCATTGCCAAATATCCTAAGTTTTTTCACAGCTGCTAATAGATCCTCATTTGTGATGTCTTGATGTTTTCTTGCCTTTCCTCGAGCTGCAATAAGCCTTGTACGTAGTTCTTCCAATGTTATAAGACCACCATTCTTGTAATTTGTTGCTAAACATACTTCTACAATCTGAACTCCCAATTCATAATAGAAATCACCAATTCCTGTAAAACAAACATTAGTTACTTCACATTTTTACATATATTTTAAAATACCAGAAATAAAATGTAGGAACTATTTTCCTGTAATCATGTCATGTTAAGAACTGATAGTGAATTTAAAATATAAACATTGTTCATAATTAATAATAAAATTTAAGATTACTTTTATGACTGCTTTTACATGTATATGAGGAAACCAATAAACCTTTTATAAAATTTGGCATAATTTAGTTATTATTCCTTTCTTCATATGCAATCATAATTTTTATCATGGTGGATTAGGCTCTTTATTTATTTCACAGAACTATTTGCATATTATAACATAGTGTATACTCCTAACACTAATACATCGGGGGGAAAGGGATTGTTAGTAATGGAGACTGAGAATCCCATTGCTAAGAATATACCCAACCAGGTCGACCTCCTCGCAGTTCTCCCTGGAAACTATCATGGTTAATTCCTGATAAATTCATCATGATGGGCTAACTGGCCTGTTTTCATTCTTATCTATCACCCTTCACTGGCACTCTGCCAGTGTATCCCGTTAACGCAGGCAGCGTTATCATACCATTTTCACCCATAAAAAAATACTAATACATCTCTATTATAAATCACATAATGTTTTAAAAGAGTCTTAAAAATATTGGGATATCTCTATATCATATAATTGTAAAGAAACAGTTTTAATTTTTAAATATAATAGAAGTGTCTCCATTATATTACAAATATTTTATAAATAATTAGAGCATATTGCAATTGGTATTGGTCTCCCTTAGTAAAGTTAGATACATATAGTTCTCTGTCCATTTCATTTATATTATATATAGAGGATATCCTCTAAGGATATTAATGATTAAAACTGCACTTTAAAGATCATATTGTAGTCCAATAACAACTACTTTATAATATAAAAGTATCTACTTACCAAGCACAGACCAAAATCCTTTCCCCGACGCTAATGGATCTACGCCGATTGCAGCACACATCTCCTGGAACTGGCGTCTGAACTGCGCATTCTTTTTGATCTCACTTTTATGCTTCGATGCAAACTCCTCTAAATTCTCCCGAAACACTTCAAGCTGTTTCGACATTTGTTGAAACTGATTCTCCTGTATCTCAGAACCTTTCTCTCTGTACTTCTCCTGCTCTAATTTCTGTTTCTGTATTGCTCCTACACCCGCTCGGCGCCTCATTTTTATAATTTAGACTTTTTAATCTAATTAAGAAACTATAGAAAGTAAAAATATATTAACAGTCAAAATACCACTGACAAAATAATGAACTTAATAGTTTAACTACATTCTATAAGAAATAATGTGTATGTAATACAAATTAAAAAAAATTACAATTTAATAAAAATATCAGAACAACACAATAAAATTAGATTGTCAAAAGGTAAATAGTAAATTAGTAAGTAGGAGGAAAGGAAAATAATCCAAATGCAGAGGGGTCAATTCTGAAGCGTCATTTCTATAAATCAAATATTTTAACTTGATAGTTTAGCATACTGTTTTATGGTTTATATTAAAGTAAATTCTAAATTATTTTTACTCAAACTTATTAGAAATTTTGTTTATAGAAAAACATTTTGCCGTGATATCAAATTGAAATTCTAATTTTAAAGAAAAATTAACAGAAATATTGCCTCAGAATCGACTTTAGCCTGACAAACGTTACATTCTTATAGAGAAGGCACTGCTCTTATATCAAATTATTACGAAAATGAATATATAAAATCATCTGTAAACATCGACATAGTAAAATAATTTTTCCTAGTGTTGTTCAACTATTTATTTTTTACAAAAGCATTATTGTGAACTGATTATAATAAAGAAAACGCCGGTTCGTGTTGAAAAGTTATACTGACAGTTAATATAAAAAAATGAATAATTAAAAGAATACAATATTAGAAATTACAAATTACAAAGGAGTTTGTAATATGCTATTGTAAATAGTTGAACAACTCTAGGAATATTCATTTATTTTACCGTTTCAGTTATTTTGATTATGTATGATAAAAGACTTCTAGTCTGTTTCAAAACAGAATGAAAGTATATATATAATGTTGATTAATTTATATTTATATATGTATAATAATTAATTAGTTTAAGTTTTAATTTCACCTATAAAAATCATAGGAAATGAGGTCTGGTGATTGGGATGACCGTAGAACAGGACCTCCATGACCGATCTCAATGCTGATTTTGTAAAAAGTCACGTACCGTGACGTAATGAGACACCACTTCAAAGTATTTACGATTTGAATACATTATAACGAAGACTTTGTGCAGTTAAAAAAAAAAAATAAACCAATGTATTCATTCAAAAACTAGGCTATATACTTATTTTTTTAGTTGTTCCGTAGAATTAAATTTTCTGCAAACTACGCGCGTGCGGATTTGTATTTATTGTGGAGTAGCCATGCAGTATACAAAATAATTAAAGACAACTGTTTAGTACAATAACATTTTACACATTAAATTTTTATTTTATATGTACTTTATAATATATAAATAATGATTCCACGCAATTTGAATACTAATTAAAAAAATACCCTATATATTATACATAATAGAATGATTTATTTGACCATAAAATAGTCTGCTGATCTCTCATAGTAGTGAAAAAAGAAAATTGATAAATTTATTTAATATAAAAGTAAATTGAATTAAGAACTTTAATTAAATGTGTTACTCATTTCATTTAGAGAGAGTTATTATTTATCTTGGTTACCTGTTTTATTAATTTCTATTGGAACCTACCTATTGTATATTTTCAAATTCAATGAAAATTTTACATAGAATTATACAAACTATTTTTATACAAAGTGTCTGTGTTCTGTATTTTTTTATTTTTTTTTGATGAGTGAAAATGGTATGGCAACCCCGCCTGCGCTAACAGGATACGCTGGCGGAGCACCAGTGAAGGGTGATAGATGAGAATGAAAACAGGCCAGTTAGCCCATCATGATGAATTCATCAGGAATTAACCATAATAGTTTCCAGGGGGAACCGCGTGGAGGTCGACCTGGTTGGGTATATTGCTAGCAATGGGATCCTCAGTCTCCATTACTAACAATCCCTTTCCCCCCCTATGTTCTGTATTAGGCGCTGTATTTACTAGAATTTACTAAATATTATAAAATATTCGTTCAGTGTATTCATTAGACTAACTTATTTTTAGATGCCTTCTATCAAAATTACTTTGCATAAATTCCCTAATTTTTTATATTTTTTTTTTACTGTACACAGTGCCATCTACTGCCAAAACAATATGGCGTTAGCGTTTATGGAAAATTTTAAATTAGAATAAAATAGACTGAAGCTAATGGAAGAATAATATAAAGATACACTCGTTTTATCTATAAAAAAAAAAAATTCTAAGTAGATATTACCGATACTTCGAAAACTGTCTCCAATAACACATGATCTCAAAAGTTTTTTGCATATTTATTTTCAGGTTTTAAAAAGATTTTTATTAAACTTCTTTATAATTTATTAGTTCTATTTAGAAACATATAAAAACAATTTTCTTCTTTCATCCTTCCTCTAAATATTAGTTATATTATATAAAATTCATTAGGGTATAAAATAAATACTTGTTACTATAATCTAAGCTTGTTATCTACCTATCTTCTTACTCTTTTACAATTCAGTAAATAAGTACAAACTATTGACCCTAAAAATAAATTTCTTATAACAAAAAATAAGTAATTTCTGTTAGTGTCCTTTGGTATAAATATTTAAACCAAACAATAATTATTTCTCTGTATTAATTTTCTTCATTAACAATTTTTAGTGACTTTTTTTTTATGTTTCATAAAAAAAAAAAATAATGAACATCCCTGGTGGGGATCGAACCCACGACCTTTGGATTAGAAGTCCAACGCGCTATCCTCTGCGCCACAGGGACAGATATTTGACATATCAAAATAGTCGTAGGGTATATACGGCATATCTCATACTTTATAAATGTATATATTAATATTATACAAGAAATTCAGCAAATACGTTCAAATTGTAATTAAATTTTAAAATCAAGATACATTTTTATTTATCTTATTAATCTATAAAATATACATAATATTGCTTTCGAAGTTAAAAAGACCTTGTATTTATTTTGTTGTTGTAAATAAAAAATGAAAATGTCAACAAACGAACTTACCTTGAACTATCAAAATATTATTTTGCGAACTTTGAAATTATAGTGAATTGTGAAAATTAAATATATATTAATAATATGCTGTAGCAGCAGAAACTAAAATATAGGTCTAAATTATTATTTCTATATTAAAGATGGAATTTATTGCAACTGACGAATCAACTTTTCAACCTACTCATGTGGACAACAAAAATTCTAAAGAGAATGATTCTGTCGAAAACTTTCAAAAGTTTATTTATGATCTTTTTGAAAAAAATGGCGTGCTTAACGACTTAAGAGCTTATTTACGTGGACATATTATTGACGTGCTGAAAAGTGCGCAAACAGGTAATCTTAATGCTACTTTTTCTGTTAATTTCTCTACTTATATCTTTGTCGCAGTTGACTTTTATCATCAAGCATAATAGGATATAATTACGTGCATTAATAAAGTTGTAACACAATTCTAGCATAAACTTATTTTGATAAACTACAATAATAAAAAAAAAATAGAGTTGTCCACTACACTGTAGTGATAAGTATTTTTGGTAATCTAAAATAATATTACAAAGAGGAAGTTTTGATAATGAATAAACATAAAAAATATTAAACAATGTTTAGAATACTTTCACTTGTAAAAGCTACATTAACAACAAGTAACATGGCCTATATTTTATTATCAAAAAATAGTGCAGTCAGATATAAAAATAGTACAATTATAGAAAATAGCCTTTACCGGATTGAATATTGAAGTATCACTATAATTTAATGACTTACCCCCAATCTGGGCAGACAAATATTTATAATAGGTGTTTAATAATATGAGAGGGAATAAATTATTCTAAATGATATTAACAATGTTTTTTTCTTTCATCAATTATTGTTTGCTACAGGTGATCCATCACCATGTCAAAGACACTTCACTCAACGTCTAGAGTTAACATACCAAGCTTTGAATATACTTATTGCAGAATATCTCTTTTGTTTGGTGAGTGCTTTTTACATTTTTTTTTTATGAATAATGGGATACGTACTCCATTTCTGTTATTGGTTTATGGTAATCTCATTATCACTCATCATCCCATACTAAATCAGATCAGTCGACTCATTTGATGAATTCACTAGGAATTTACTACAATTGTTTCTAGAAGGAACTTTAACAAAGAGGTGGATTTAAATTAAGTTTTACAAATTGATTGTCTATGGCCCACTTTAAGACAGAACACTTATCCTTATTTACATCTATTAAACCACAGAATAATTTAAAAAATATGATAAATGAAAAAGAAGTAATATTGTTTATAATATAAAAATCTCTGTTACAGGAGTTTAGCTACAGTCTTTCGGTGTTTATATCAGAGATACCACTTGCAAACATGGTATTTGCATATGCCAAAGCCCTGCTTCATAGTCATAATGAAGGAAACCCAGTATTGAAATTTACGGATGGAGATGTTTGGTCTATCCTCAACTATTTGGGTTAGAATTGTTTATATGCTAGCTATTGCCTGTTGATATGTTCTGTATAATTTATCTGCTTATAAAATACATTTTTATTTTCTTTTATAAATGTTTAGTTCTATCTGTAGATACAGATGTATGATCTTAAAATGACCATTCAATTTTGTTTTAGATTTTTAATGAGCATGTAATTAATTTTTAATGAGAATTAAACTCTATAAGTAACTACATTTGATAAAATGTATTAATCTCCAATTTTCACCATAACATAATAATGTTTTAATAAGATATGTGATTATTTAGGTGTTGTTTTTATCCAAATCTTAATTTTTGATATTAATAGTAAATCTTGACTATTCTGATAAAGGAATAAATTGCACTATTTCATACATCTTACCAGAATATAATTGATTTGTGCTCATAATTAAAGCCCATTTAAACATATAAATCAATATTTGAATTTTTTACTAGTATAGTATATAGTAGCATATTATGTGGTTGTGCTAGAATGTAATAATGGTATTTATTTAATTTTTTTCTTTCAGGTGTTAAATGTGATTCAGAACATGCATACAAAATAGTTGAATTGTATAAGAGCAAAGATAATCTACCATTGTTGTTATGTATATTGAAATGTATGCCAATGTATAACAAGGAAGGGTTCACCATAGAACAAGGTAAAAATTATCTGTTAAGGCTAATATCTAAACTTGCTTATTTATTTTAATTTGAAACAATAATTGAAATTTTTTTTTAAATGTTAAATAAGGATTTTGTACCATCAAATTAGGATTTGACACTTATACTTTCCAACTTCTTTCTACACTCTTTGTTTCTAGCAAACTTTTATAGAACACCATAGCCCAGGCTAACTGTACTTCTATACACAGTGACCCAATTTGCGAAGCTAAATGTAAAATTACATAATGAAACTGATGGTTTCATTTGTGACCAGTAAATAATTTAGATTTTTATTTCTTCAGATATTTCATCATTGGACAGTATTTCAAGTGTGAAGAGCTCTGATACTGTAGCAGAGAAAACAAATAGCAAGAATGGAGGGTGCCATGAGAAATGTAAACATTATGTATTTTGTAGAACTTGTCAGAACAGAATGAGCCGTGTTAAAGACAAGTATATGAAAAAAAGAAAAAAAATTGCAAAGGTATAATTAACAGTTGAGGTTCCTTTATAACTGTAATTAAATTTAATCTCAATTAGTACGAGTTAAATTGAAAATTGTTGTATTACATCAGTATAATTATAATTAAAAAAATACAAATGAATTAAAAATTGAGAATTTAATCTTTTTTTTTAAATAGATTAGAAATTATGTATAGGTTTCTTAAATATAACAATATATTACAGTATAAACTATCTATTTTAACAGCCCACATCAAACCACTGCTGGGCATAGGCCTCCAGTTTGTCGCACCATTTGTTATGGGTCTATGCTAATCTTATTGCTTCCCTGCTTAATAAAGTAATAAAAATAGAATAAAACTAAATAAAATGCAAAACTTGTTTCAACACAAACAATATTATAATATGGTGTTCTTTCAACTGTATTACTCAGTTAATTCCTAGTCACAGCACCACATACTCTCTGTGATACACCTGTAATTCGATGGTTAAAATTCGACGATGCGACAGTAGATATTAGATTAACATTAGGTATTAATCTCAACCTTTTGATAATTTTAAAAGACTTTCACATAACATTTGAATGAAGAACGTTATAACGGATTTGGAATTCAGCATAGTGTCGTCTCTTTCCATTTATATTACAGACTGTGAAGGAGACAAACATGAACCCTTTAAATGTGGAACTTCTTTTGAAGAACATCAGTTTTATGGAGAAAGGCCTCATTGATGAGGTTTCTTGTCTTCTATACATTTTTAATAATTGTATCAATATATAATAGCTAAAAGTTACCATCTTCCATAGCAAAATTCTTTGTTCATTGTATATTTATCAAATATTTACCCAATTTTTGTGTGTTAAGATATTTTTCATTAAATTTATATTAGTATTTAAATTGTTATGTAGCATTCATGTATATGTAATTTATTAATATCATGTAATAATTTAATTTTGGATATTAATATGACCTTATTCACAAAATCTATAATAAGAACTACCTTATCATCATATTTTGAAGGCGTGAATTTACTGGGTACAGAGGAATAACACCTGAGTCCTCGGGAATGGCAACACATGGGGATATCATGGGCGAAACAGTATACTCTGTTATGTCCATGGTACTGATCATGTCTATAGCGATGGTTACCACTTTCCATCAGGTGGACCATCTGCTTGTTTGCCATTCTAAGTTGTATAAAAAAAAACTTATTTCTGTGAACTAGCAATGTATGTGTTGCTTTGTATGAAAGATGAAATACCCAGTATGGTCTCCATCACAGCTAGCAAACTCTTTACTTCTTAGAAAGAACAACACATGTTTTCTATAATAGTGTCTAATGTTATGCTTCTAGATGTTCCAACAATTGAAGTCTGTGTATGAAGCTGAAGTAGAAATGGTTAGGGTGGAAGAAGACAAGAAAACCAAACGTACCCTCGCCACACACATAGCACAGCTCCAAAGGCACCATGTGGAGGTATGCTATAAATATAGGAGTAGAAAGCTGAAAAAAATTGTTCAAAACTGTTCACCTATTTAAGTGGGATTTAGTAAAGTACTTGTAGTTTATATATTATGTATGGAGGCATAATACAATTAGGCCTCAGCAATAACAACTTATGAAGTATGATACCTGTCATACATTGCCATTCCTGTCGAACATCACAATCTATTTTGTATTGTAGACATGATCAGTACCATGGAGGGGTTTATGTCGACGACGAGATAGGCGACGGTAACCACATTCTATCAAGTGGGCCATTAGCTTGTTGCTATTCTAAGTTGCATAAAAAAAGAAAACAGTATCTTAATTTTGAAAAAAAAAAATATATAGAACGAACATTGAAGTAAATCCAAATCGTTTGAAAAATAATTATGAAAATCGATTCAGAATAAGCGAAATTATGACGTAAGATAATATATATATATAAATAAAAATTATAATTTTTCTAAGATGGAGGAAGCATTCAAAGCTCGCGAGGCAAAATTAGAAAAGAATGTGGAGCAGAAGAAAAGATTTCTATGGGGTCTAGCGCGTCAGTTGCGCGAACAACACGCCCAGCTTTCGCGGGCCATGCTTACACTGCGAGGGGAGGCTGATCGACTGACTGCCAAAGTGAGAGGCTTGCATCTTGTGAAACCAATTTTTCTATTACTTATCCTACAAAAAATAGGGTGTTTCGTCATAAAGGGATCACGTTGTCAAATATTACAGCACGCCTGTAACATCAAGTCCTATTCATTGCGATTGACTTAAAAAAATATTCTTTTAAATTCACTCACTCAATTACTCTGCACTATGAATAGTGTATTATAATTAAAAAAGTATATTGTACTTACACATTAATGATCAATGTTGTTGATACATTGAACAATGTTCATACATGTTCAATGAACATGTATGTGATATGTTAAATAATAATGTTGCTGTGTGTGCCCCGGCATAGAATGGGCCACTCCTTCCTTTCACGTGAGTGTCGTAAGAAGCGACTAAGAGAGGGCGAGAGATGAACAGCAGTGTCCTGAAAACATCTGTCTTAAAACATCTTTAAAAACCTATCTGCGGTTGCCAATAAGTCGCCACCTACCAACCTTAGTAACTACAGGCAAAACTCCCCTCATAGGGAAGGCTTATGTTCAGCAGTGGACTTTTAATGGCTGAAATATTAATATTAATTAATGTTCAAACTATAATAACAACTTTTCATAATATATCTTCTCTATATGTTAGGTTATAATTGGATTACTGCCACTCTTTAATTTTAATACAAACAAATGATAAAAGCATCTGTTATCTCAGGAAGATAGTTTAAAAACCCAACTGCTGGAAGCTGAAACAGTTTTAAAGAAACGTGGCGAGGAGATGCGTGCCCAAATATCCAACGAGCTAGTTATTTTAGAAGGCCACCTGGAGTCAATGAAGAAAGAAAGAGAGAGCATCAACCGAGAACGATTAGAATTGCAAAGCTATAAAACTCCTGATACATCTATCAAACATGGCCTAGAGAGTGAAGATTTAAAATCGCATTATGATCTATTAAAAGATGAATTTTTAATACTGAAGAAGTATCTAGAAACAATCAAAATGGAGCCCAAATGTGTTATAGAAAGAGAGACAATTACTGACTTGAATGATGTCACATCAAAGATTAATATAATGCTAAACAATGAGGAAGCAGATAGGAATTTGTTGAAGAGCGATAATGAGGAGCGAGCACGCGCACCAAACATAGTGATCAATGATTTGAAGAAACAGAAGAATGTTAATTTCAGTCAGGTGAGTTACGTCTACTTTTAATTTAATTTTTATTTATTAATCGACTTCAAAAAGGGACGAAAATTTCGGTGTTTGTTTTTTATATTTGTTATCCCATAACTCTTTTGGAAATTTGGATTTGGAAAATTATTTTTTTATCTAAAAGAATATGTGTTTAGATTGGTCCCATAGTATCCTAAATCGATTCAGTAATTAAGTTTTTAAACCAAAATTACTATTTTGTCACAATTCAAGTAGGTTTTGTGGAACACAATCTTAAATTATTTATTTTAAAGGACAAATGAAACACTAGTGTACCATAATTATGCTACAGGCATATGTAATATATTTTCCAATTCTATTTTTTTATTTTTCACCAAATTAGTATTACTACTAATTTTGTATTATTACTTAAAAATGAATGGCAACCCCAAATTGTATGTGGTGAGTGGGATTTAAAATCTTTTATTGGCGCATGGAGATTCAAGTCAGGAATGAATGACTTACAAATTTAATACAACGATATTTGTAAACTAAAACTTTCTGCAGAGGTTCTGGGTCCGTAAGGCCATATACTTCCATTCATTCATTGGTAACTGTGTACTTTTACAGTCAAACCTAGACGAGGTGTACCGGCAACGCAGTCGTGACCGCAGTCGCTCGTCCGCGTCCAGTGAAGCGGGCGAAGTTGCTGACTGTGGTCACCATCGTGACCGCGACTCTGACTGTGACCGTGACCGTCATTGCGACCGCGACGCTCCCTGCTGTCACATGCAGTATGATGTCTTACAGCATTTGCGCAATGAAAACGAGAGTTTAAAGGACTTTGCTAGACAGGTATAATTTACATGTAATCTTACCAGTAAGGAGTCTATAGCACACAAAGAACGATGTCGTTATTTCATACAAAGGCACATTTTTAATTTATGTACGAAATGTCATTCGTTCACTCATTCATTCAATCTTGTACCTGTATTATTTGTGACTTCATCTCGAGTATTGATGAGACCGTGCAAATGACGCTTCACGATTCAATTCGTTTATTTACGAGTATATAAACATAGGTACAAAATTAACTTAAATAATAATAAATATCCCAAACATGACTTGCCATTTCTAGCGTATGAATTTGTAGTTAATTCTTCAATAACAAAATTATATGCAATATATGTTTAAAATAATTTACATCACAGAGACAAAATAGATTTTTAAAATCGAATTATTTACTGTGTATAGTAAATAATACACACAGCAAATAACTAGATTATTTTATACTATTACAGTATAAAAAAATGTGGTCCCAGCATAGAATGAGCCATTACTTCCTTTTCCGTTCATGTTGTAAGAGGGGACTAAGGGAGTTTAATGGATGACGAATGGGCAGGAGCATTTCTCTTAAAATATTACCAAACCTTAATTGCGGTGGTCAACCCGCTTGCCAAACATGGCAATTATTGCCAAAATCCCTCTAAGGGGAGGCCTATGTTCAGCAGTGGTCAGACGGCTGATGTAATGATATGATTATAGTAGCAAATAAGCGGGGGGAAGGGATTGTTAATAATGGGGTCTAATGAACCCATTGCTAGTAATATACCCTATCAGGTCGACCTCCACGCGGTTCCCCCTGGAAACCATCGTGGTTAATTCTAGTGGAATTCGTCACGATGGGCTAACTGACCTGCTTTCATCCTCATCTATCATCACTCACTGGTGCCCCACCAGCGTATACCGATAGCGTAGGTGGGGTTACCATTCCATTATCACCCATAAAAAAAAGTAGCAAATAAGCATACGGCCCGTCTATTGGTAAACAGTTATCGTCGCCTACAGACGCCTGTAAAACCAGGAACTATCTTCAGACGAAAAAAGAATTTTCCAAATCGATTATAAATAACAGTTATGATATGTAACAAATATAAAAAATATAGTCGAATTAAGAACATTGGAGGCGATTAAAAAAATACATACTAGGTACATAGGCATACTTAAACAGAGGTGTCTTCCAGACCAGCCTTGCGAGTATTTGAGAGAAATTTATACTATATATATTTGTTTAGCAAAGAACACACATCAACGACCTTATGAGTCAGCAAGCGCGTCTTCAGGCGGAATTAATCGCGACCCGCACTCGCATTGATGCGACCCGACCGCGAACCGCGCCTGACATCACACCGCGCTGCGCCTGCATCAATGAAAGGTATTTTTTTTAGATATTTACCTTGTATTGCAGGTGTTCATGGATGACGGTAACCGCTTCCGTTCACGTGGGCCTTTTGTATCTCTAATATTTTGCGTCTTTTGCATTTCTAACAATAAACAAGGGATTTCGAATATTTTCAGATTAAATATGAGCGAAAGCACAAACACGTTCGGTTGGCGCAAAGGTGCCGGCGAGGAGGTAAGCGTGTTCTCAGAGGCGCGGCCGCGGGTGGTCGTGCCCGGCGACATACTGCCATTCGTGGGTGCGCTCAGAGACACCAGGGATGGACGCAGGTTAGTAGCGACACTTACTTAGAAACTCGGTTATTTGTCTAATAATGCTTCGTTACTTGTTAAACATGAATTAAGTTCAGAAAAAAAAAAATTAAAAAAGCCCTCTCGAATGTATTTTTTTCCATTATAGGGTCATTCAATAAATCTTCTTTAATCATTCTGTGTATGCATTTTGCATCGGAGATTTGAAGTTTATGTGTCAATAGTTATTTTATAGTAAACGATACTTTAACCACATATAATATTGCTTTAACTGTCATGGAAGTAAACCTTGTCACTTACAAACTTAATTGATATTCATTTAAGAATGATGAAGTCAATATTATGGTAAATACACACAAAAAATACACTCCTCGCAAAAATTAAGGGAACATAAAATTTTTTGAAATTTTTGGGTGATTTTCAACAGGTTGTATTTCAGTGAAAAATAATGTACAGTGAAATTTAAAAAAATTGAAGCTTGAAAACTCTATTTTCAATTTTTTGGTGAAAAAATTTTTTTAACTCCGATTTCCATGCAAAAAAAAGCTGAAAATAATTTTTTTCTAAATTTTCTGGTTAAACAATTAATAAGCATGGAAAAATTTTTTCGAGTCATTGTATGATCTCTTAGCGTGTTTATTCAGTCCCTCAAAAATCGCTTTGGATGCAGCACGACCATTTGTCTCACGAGATATCGAACGGATGCAAAAGCATCCTTTTCCATTCAACTGCTAATATCTTTGGAACTACTGGTCGCACAGCACCCGGCGCCGAGTTTCTTTATCTGCATAAGATTTCCAATTAAGCACAGTCAAGAGTTAGTGAAGAAAAAAATTTTTTCCACCTCTAACATTGAATTGAAAAAAGTGGAAAAAAGTGACTTTTTCTCCTTTTTTGGTTACTTGGCTGTATCTTCGCTAATATGGGCAAAGCTAAGGTTTGAGGAAAATTTTACAGTCTATTGTTCCTTAAAGAATCCCCTAAATCCCTGGAGCGATCGGTTCAACGGTTTTTCCCGGACCAATTGATTGAAATTTTGGAAAAAATAAGGGAACAAGGTTTTTGTCCCTTAAACTCACCCTAATCCATTCAAAAATCAATAATTTCATTTGTTTTTCACTTTTTACTCAATTTTTTGTTTTTTAAAAATTCATTATCAAAAAAAAAAATCGAAAAAAATCAAGAAAATTTTTTTTGTGCGACCAGTAGTTCCAGAGATGTTAGCAGTTGAATGGAAAAGGATGCTTTTGCATTCAAAGTTCGATATCTCGGAGACAAATGGTCGTAAATGAGCCATCCAAAGCGATTTTTGAAGCTGAATAAACACGTCAACAATGGAGTTATTTTTTTCATGCCCATAGTAAAAACAAAACCTTAGAAAATTTAGAAAAAAATTATTTTCAGCTTTGTTTAAGAATGTCATGGAATCCGTCAAAAAATTTTTCACTTAAAAATCTGAAAACTGATTTTCATTCAAAATGATTAATTTCCTGTACGATTATTTTTCGCTGAAATACAGCCTGTTGAAAATCACCCAAAAATTTCAATAATTTTTATGTTCCCTTAATTTTTGCGAGGAGTGTACCTACAGCTAAATTGGGAATTTCGTAGAGAGAAGGGTGAGGAGAGAGGGGGAGTTTATCTAATTTATTATTTTCAACTTATTTTAAACAAGAAAAAGTTTTTCAATTCGTTAGTTTTTTTATATGTTTGTTTTCTCATAACTCGGTCATTTATAAACCGATTTCGAAAATACTTTTTTTTTTGTTAAGATACACTTTCAGATTGGTTCTATAAAAAAAATTATCAAAATAGATTTAGTAGTTTAGTTTTTAAATCGAAATAACTAATTTTGCCAAAATTGAAGTCTGTTTTTTTTTTTTTTTTTACAACACAAGCGGCAAACGAGCATGCGGCTCACCTGATGGTAAGTGACTACCGCCGCCCATGATCACCCACAATACCAGCGGCATTGCAGGTGTGCTGCCGGCCTTTTGTTTTTGTTGAACACAAGTGAAATTATGTAGTATAATGTATGTCATATTATGCAGGCATTTGATAAACACGTGGCGATCCCTGCGGCGTGGGACAACAGTAAGCGGTCGTCGGCCAGCCCCTCAAGTTATTGAGACCACGCCCATCCTTCACGCTACTGACGTCACTCCCGCGTCACCAACTACGCCCATCATGGATCGACCTAGTATTATACTTTTATTATATTCATTACTGTATTTATTTCAATAAGTAAAATAATGTGATAAAACGATATCTGGTCAAAAATGGGTAAAAATTTAGACTCACCTTTTACCATCGCACTGTTGGCTATCGGCATGGAATTCATCCTCCTAGAACCAAAATGGTTACACACAGTGCAGTTTTGGAGGAGCTTCATCTCGAGAACTTTCAGGTTATGGAATTATTGTTAATTATACATATGTAATATTAAAATTAAAAATAAAATAAAAAAAATAATAATAAGGTTTTTTAGGGTCGACAATGCGCGCGTGACACTTCAGTATTACAGGCGTCTATACATTATGTCTTACTTACTAAATAGTCGAGGGATGAACAGCAGTGTCCTTCTTTAAACATCACCAGAGCAGAGATATAGTAGTTAAAATTATATGTATGTATAAAAATATTTCAACAATCAAGTTAGTTCAGGGTACAATAGAACTGATACACCTGAAGAAGGTAAAAGCCCTTAAAATAATATTAAAAAAAAAGTTAGTTTTTCAACTGAAAATTGTAAGTATTTGTGTAATAATAAGGGATGATCATAAGAATAAGGGAAATGAGTCTTTTTCGTGAAAGAGATGGATGAATTGTATATAAAAAAAAGACAAAATAGAGAGATTACTCTAAACCTTAAGTAATATGATTTTATGGCATAAAAATAATTACTATGTTTTTATGCAGCCAGCGCCGCTCCCACACAAGATATGTGTGCTACAAATGCGGAAGACGAACCAAACATCATTGGACAATCAGAAAATATTACGATCAATCCTGTGTCTTGGTGAGTTTTGTATTTAAAATTGTATTTACATATATATAATTATATATACAGCTAGTTTAGTACGCACACCAATCTATTGAGAAGCAGCAGAGTTAAATATTGTGTTTTATTTTTTAATTTATTCTTTTCTGAAATGTAAGATAACCAATGCAATTTTATATTACAAAATTACTTTTTTTTTTTTATTTATTTCAAGTAAACAGTTTCATAGACAATACATTTCTTAGTGCCACTGTTTTGCAGTTTATCTGCAAATTTGCGCTCTACATACAGTTTAGTAAACAATTATGAACTTATATTTTAATTATATATCATTATACATACATACACACATATTGCATTCTCAATGTAAATTAGTCTTCACACCTTTGATCACGGGAATAAATGCTTAGAGACGTTGTTGCATATATGGCATTCTTATATTATTTTGTTGTTCATTAAAATGACGTATGGCAACACTATAAAAAATAAAGATAAACATTATATATGGACGCTCCTCAGTTACTTCGTATTTTATTTAAAATAATAATTATACGGACTATTCTGCCTGCCCTGTCATATAGAACAGACGTTATGTTCAATAAGCTTGGGTTTTGTATGATAATGGAATGGTAACCCCGTCTGCGCTATCGCCGATGGCCTATCGGTATAAACTAGCGAGGAACCAGTTAAGAGTGATAGGTGAGGATGAAAGTAAGTCAGTAGTCTGTCGTAAAGAAGTCTACAAAATTTAACCACGATGGTTTCGAGGCGAACAGCGTGGAAGTCGAACTGATAGTGTATATTGCTAACAATGGAGTTATTGCACTTATTTATTTTCTGATATTGCTACAACTTAGATTACATGTTTATTTTTGTTATTTACTTAATTTTCTTACACTGTATAATTATGTTAAAGTGAATGCTGTGAATACCTATAATAGGCATGTGCATTAATATTGTATTATATTTAATGTTTGTTATACCTATATGTTATAATGCAATATGCTGTTGGTGTTCCTTAAATAAATAAATAAATAAATTTTATTAACAGTCCCTATCTCTCCAATAGGTTTTCTATCACTAGTTACTACTTTCTGTTATTAATCTGTCAGTCCAACATAGTACTTTGTTTGACGAAGGAAGAGAATTATTAGCAACTGGGATTAATGGTTTCATTGCTAACTATTATGCTTTGTCAGATCAACCTCCATGCGATCCTTCCTGAAACACTCATGGTTAATTCCCAGTAAATTAACAATAGCCCGCCAGATCTGACTTCGTCCTCATCTATCATCATTCGCTGATACCTAGCCAGGGTATATAGACAGCACAGGCTGGATTACATTTTATTACCATTAATAAAACAAGCAATACCTTGCAGTATGTTGTTGAAAATAGAAAAAAAAATCTGTTCATAATCATACTGTGTTAATTTATAAAAAGTATATATAAGTACATATTTCATTTCAGTGACAATGTGCAACAACCAAAATTAACAGAAACTGCAGTCGAAAACAAAACTAGAGCAAAAAGTCCGAAATCAATGCTCAGGGAAGCAAAGCAAAAATTAAAAAAGTAAGTTTTTTGAATAGTATATATATAACAAACATAATTTACCATATATGCATTGTAATCGATATACTTCCAGCCTTTTTTACATTAACTATTAGGGTTAGCAAATATAGTTACCTTCATCAATTTAATTTATAAATAAATAAAAACTACTTGACATATTTCATAGTGCTATCTAGTCCCAAACTAAGCAGAGTTATTGGCGCTGTTTTTTTTTAATGGATGAAAATGGGATAGTAGCCCCGCCTGTACTATCGGGATACGCGGACGGAGCACCAATAAGGGATGATAGGTGAAGACAAAGCAGGTCAGTTGGCCCATCGTGATGAATTCATCAAAAATTAATCACGATGGTTTTCAGGGGGATCCACGTGGAGGTCGATCTATTAGGGTATATTGCTAGTAATAATTCTGTTGTATCTCATTACTAACTATCTCAGTCCCCCGAAATGAATAAATACATAGGACACATAGAAAACATACAGATCAATACAAACAGTCGGGGTGGGGGGGGGGGGGGGATTGTTAGTAGTACTACTACTGGTAGTCATATTGCTAGCAATATATCCTGTCAGATCGACCTCCACGTGGTCTCCCCCTGGAAGCCATTGTGCTAAATTCCTAGTGTATTTATCACGATGGGTTAATTAACCTGTGTTTTTATTCACACCTTTCATCATCATTCACTAGTGCCTCGCCAGTGTTGTATATTTATACTAAATACATTAAAACTATTTAATTTGTATCAATATCATGCAAAAAGTATCGTTTTAATTATATATGTATATATAAAAATATATAATATTACAGAAATTATGTTACATTAGCATTCAGAAACTACGTAGATTTATATTAATACTAAATACATTAAAACTATTTAATTTGTATCAATATCATCCAAAAAGTATCGTTTTAATTATATATGTATATATAAAAATATATAATATGTTAAAGTCGATTGGTGACCTCTGTCCCATTCGTGTTCAATCGTGAAGTCAGCTGTGTTTGCATGGCTATATATATATATATATATATATATATATATATATATATATATATATAAGGGTGGGAAATGGCGTGAACGAGGCGTGACGTTTACTGGGTACAGAGGAATAACACCAGAGTCCTCAGGAATGGAAATGCATGGGGGGTATCATGGGCGAGACAGTATATTCTGTTATGTCCATGGTACTGGTCATGTCTATAGGCGACGGTTACCACTTTCCATCAATGGACCGTCAGCTTGTATGCCATTCTAGGTTGTATAAATAAAAATCCAGAATTTGTATCTTTAGTATTTTATTTTTCGCTATGCATATTTTAAAATAACACACTCCCTGTAAAGTATCAGTTTACAACGTATTAACAAACCTATACTCTCTGTTTCAGTAAAAATAGCAAAAAAGTTCAACCGACAACTCATGAGAAAAGCCCTAACACTGTACTCCGGGAAGCTAAACTTCGTTTAAGGAAGCTTGAGATCGAAGCAGAAGCAGTCGAGAGGTCTTATCTAGACTTTAGAAAGAGACAAAATGAGTTGATAAAAGATAGAAAAAGCTATTCTATGAGCAAGGATAATCCACTTGAAAGCGATCTTGATAATTTAGGTAAATAGAAAATTTATACTATATTTTATTGAATTAGCAGCCCAAACAACGAAGTATATATATGCTCACTCTATATTATATATCACTAAAATCTCTAATAGGGTCGACTTTGGGTCATTGCTTGTATTTAGAAGAAAATTTAATTATATACTTTTTCAATTTGTGTATTATACTACAAATTTTACATTTTCTTTTCCACATTTGGCTGGTCCGCTTCACAACCGCAACCATGTTCAGGCAAGCAATCTATTAAGTCCTCGTTTATTATTTTTTTACTTTATTCGTAGTATTGCTTACAATATATCGCCTTCGTGAAAATTCTTATCTATAAATGTATTAGTACTTATGTTTTCTGTTTGCTTATTATTTCAGGTATAAAACGAAGCAAATCTTTGCAAAAAATAGATGACAAATCTAAGACTAAATTAGATACACAAACAAATTATAAAGAAACACTGCAGTTCATGAAAACAGATTTTAATAAATATCTATGTGAATATAAAGCAAACTTCGATATTAAGGAGATACAGTCCAAAAATAGAAGAGCAATTGAAAAAGTACATCCCAATACTAATATCGTCAAGAAAAATTATAAGGAAAAGCACAATTATTTAGAAACACCGTTAATTGAGTTTAGAAAATTTTATCATTCCCAACAGATGGGTAGGCCATTGACTATAATAGATAATCCTCGCCCAATTCCTTTAGAGAGAGAAGTTCCTTTAAAAAATAATGGAAATAGTAAACAGGATGTTTTTAAATTGAGAAATGAAAATATAAAAGAAGCAGAAAATTATGAAGAACTTGAACTTCAAATACAAAAGAATAATCTAAACAAAATTTACAATTTACCTGAACAAAGTGCTGTTGAACCTTCAAATAAAGAGCAAAATAATATTGAAAATTCACCTAAATTAGAAAAAAATATAAAAGAGGAAAGCAATGACAATGTTCTCAGGGTAGTAGTCGAAAATGTGAGTGAAACAAGTGAATTGAAATTAACAGAATCGCAATCTCAAGAATTGTTACTTGTGGTGCAAAGTTCTGTAGATGCAAGTCGTGCTTCACAATCTGATGAAAAAGAGAATATGTCTACTCGCATGACGATTATTGTGAGTCCAAGGAAAAATGACTGCAAAGGTTCAAACGATGTAGGTCTGGAGCCACTTAAAGCTACAGATATTCCCGAAAAGTCAGTACCGGAAGAAGTAGCTCGTCTAACTCAGAATGACGTATTAGATACAATTTTCCATGCTGACCCAAATAATCAAATATCCAGTACAGAAATGCAACTAGATATATCTAAAGAACAGTTAGAAGACTCTATTAGTGAATACGAGAAAGAAGACGATTATGTAAACGATTTTTCTGCAGACGTGGACAACTACAACAGTCGTTCAGAATATGAAAACAATTCCCCCATATCCCTGCCGAAAACATCGGAGGATGAAAATTTTTGGGAGACTTAAATTATTATTTTTATATGAAATAATAGAAATAAAACCAAAATATGAACCAGTCATAATTTATTTTTCTAATGTCTATGTGAATTAAAACATTTATAAAACATACATTTCTTTTACTATTTTTCTTTTTTCATTATAAAAGTACAAACATTCGTAACATTATCATCACCACGTATTATTTTACCATATTTGGCAACATACAATACAAATAATACATTACGTAATAGACTAAAGATTGTGATAACACAACTATAAATGCTAATCATTAATCCAGTGAAACATTATTGTCACAATTTATATAGGGCTGAGAATTAAACAGTGAAATTATCACTCTATGGAAATTCAACAAAACAATTATTATAATAAAAAATTATATACAACCATTCATTAGCACGATCATTGCTATATATATTTGTTAAAAGAGAATGTCGAGTTTTTAACAACGATGCGACTAAATAAATTTAATAAGTATCTATAGATAGGTCAATAAATTTATTCTGTATGAAAATATTTACATATTAATATTAAAATATTTTTCCACTGTTTGATTTTTTTAGAAGCGAATCAATGCAGTTAAATAACTCTTAAAATATTTGAAGTTTCACATTTAGTAGTTTCATTCACTCCATTGATTACATTAAATCTAAAAGTACAATGCCACAGATTTATTTATTATAATTAGTCCTGTAATAGGTCAAGAAAAAATATATTCATCCAATCAAAATAATCATAGAAAAAAAGAATACTAATTATTACTCAAATACTCATTATTAAATATCAATTAAAAAAAAACTAAATAAAATACCTTGAATCAAATAATGTTGCAAAAACGAATTGATGGGTTTCACGTTGTGTTTTAATACACAATTATTATTTTTAGTATTTAAATTAAATACGTTTATTAAAATAGTACATAGTAGATATTTGAGTGAGATTCCCAACAACCGTTATTTATGTCTGGCAGTAATACAAAGAATAATAAAAATTTTGATCAAATCAAAATCCAAAGCTAACGTTGTGTCCGACGTTTTTAGATGCAACCGCTGACCGTGGTGAGTTTGGACCTGTCACTCTGAGCCAGTTTGACACCTGTTAGGAAAAAATATATGGTATTAGATACATATTTAATATACAGAAAATTAGGAGCATTAATTACATAACGTGTTAGTTTTCAAGAATGATAACGCATTGAGCCACTATGGAGGTAACAGTTCATTTTGTGAAGCCAATGATGCTACTTTCGATGGGGCAACGATTGCCATTTTCCATCAGGTGGTTGAACAGCAGGTGCTATGTAATATGTAAGTTTTATTATTTAACTAATAATTATGACAATGTATATAACAATCATAGTTATATATTTACCATTTTTTAATTGTAATACATTTAATATATAATAATAGTATCCTCTATGGATAATTTTAACTATATATATATTACTGCAAAACGTAGTTTAAAAAAAATCAATTCGTAAATTTTTCAAATACCTATAAGTTCAAATTACCTGTAAGGGCACAGCCCTGCAGCACTCGCCCCTGCCGTCCTTGCAGGGCGTGGAGCGTGCGGCGGGCGACGACGCGAGCGGGGCGGAGGCCCGTGCTCGCCGCGGGGTCTGCGCCCCCGGACTCGCGCACACGGACATCGACGACAAGCTCTCATCCGCCGACGGGACCGGCTTCCATCTGTCCCAGAATGATTGTATTATATTGTATTGTAAAATCTTTATTGTACAAAATTATTACGGAATACGTCAAAAGATTTAATATACAATGGCGGACTTATCCCATAAAGGGATCTCTTATAGTCAACCTTTAAGAAGCTGAAAAAAAGTGTAGAATGTACAAGGGTAATAACCGTACAGCTAAAGATAAACTAAATAATACCCAGTAAAAATTGAATATATAATACAATAAAAACATCTGTATAAATGATTGTTATCTTATCGTGTTGAATATTTACCTAAACAACCCATTACAGAAGGAAAACTGTACAAAAATCGTCTGCTTGGCTACCCTATTCCTACTTGTGCATTTAGCGAAGTAGCTGTGCTTACATGGTTATTTTGGTTTGAAGAGTGGAATATGGCTGTGAAATTACAGGGTACGGGGATTTAGAACTATAATACTTAGGAATAGCATTGTGTGAGAGGTGCTCAGTGTGTTCTGTGTTGTTCATGGTGCTGGTCATCTTAACAGGCGACGTTACAACTTTCTATCAGGTGGACACCTGATAGTTGTAACGTCACGTCGAAGCCTGTTTACTATTATCTCAAAGCCATTAATAACATATTGGAGATGTACTCCCTTCATCCCGTACAGATCAGCATTCAAGGATGAAAACACAAATGTTTTCAACACCTGTGTGATTTACGATACTATCATAGATTTCATTCGTACCACAGAATAATCTATACTAATATTATAAGGGGGAAAGGTTTGATTTTTTTATATGTTTGTTTGTAACGCATAAACTCAAAAACTATTTAACTAATTTAAAAGATTATTTACATTGTCAGCAAGTAACATAGGCTATACGTTATTTATTTAATTATAACATTACAATGTAATCCAAAGTTTCAAAAATTGATTGTAATATTAGAGATATGCTTACATATTATTTTATAAATATTAAATCTTTTTTTAATTTTGTTAACAAGCCTATTTTTTAAGTTTAAGAATAAATATTTTCGTTGTCAGAATTGAAAGTAGCGTGAACCACAGCATTTGTATTTTTGTTATATTGTGAAATATATATCTTACCAAACACGCAATTACTGCTTTTCTATCTATTCGTGCAAAGCTGGAGCGAATCGCTAGTAAAAAAAAAAACCACATACTTGTCACGTTCAGTGGGTGAATAAAGCGCGACCGTGTGCCGCCAGCGGTACACGTTGGGGAACTGCTGCACATTGATGTTACACTCGCATAGCGCGTCGAACACGAGCCGGTCCATTTTGCTCGGCTCCTCACTAAAACACATTCGTGGATTATTATATATAAAAAAAAAAAAAACTTCCAAATAACTTGAAGAGTTTAAAAAAGGTCCATGCGCAATGATTTATTATTTCTTGTTTATAATTCTTGCTTATTGGTTTCACCATCTTTTGATTCTGCCCACTGGAGCATTTTGGCTAAACGCACCATATAATATAAAAAAAAAAAAAACTGTACATCAAAATTGTCACCGGCTGCATAGACCTCTCCAGCATTAAACGACGTTCTGCAATACATTCGAGGTCGTCACTCGAACAAATTGGAAGTAGCCATATACTGTGTTTGCCCTTATGTCATCACCATTCGAGAACATTTCTTCCAAATCGGTTGTCAATACTGCTATTTACTTTCTATCAAATGGGCAGTCATGTTTGCCATTCTAAGTTTGATAAAAAAAAGATATATAATAAATACTCTATTATAATAGAATTTAAACCATAAGGCAAACTGCTGACGTCTAATAGTGGTAATAGACACAATAGACCAAAGGGAGACTGTACAAAAGTCATTTGCTGGGGTACCTCTGTCCCATTCGTGTTTCAACCATAAAGCAGTAGTGTTTGCATGGCTGTGTTTCGGTTTGAAGGGTGGGATACGGCCTGAATTTACTGGGTACAGAGGAATAACACCTGAGTCCTTAGGAATGGCAACGCATGGGAGGTTTCATGGGCGAAACAGTATACTCTGTTATGTTCATGGTGTTGCTCATGTCTATAGGCGCCGGTTACCACTTTCCATCAGGTGGACCGTCAGGTTGTTTGCCATTCTAAGTTGTATAAAAAAAATATTAATGAAGCTGTTGATTTGTTGCTATATTCACTTAGAGAGTTTTTTTTTGTAATAATTTTAAGAATTTTGGGTTATATTTTTATTAAGTTTTAATGGAGCAAAATATTAATTCATATGAATCTATCCATTAAGAGCTCTTTGGCACTCGGTTCTGTCTGTGTACCCCGCAAATGCTTTGGCCGGAAGAGAGATGCAATTATTACCCGTATATGAACGGTTCGGCGACAGCGCGGTCGCTCGCCTCGTGCATGTCGAGTTCGGGCCCTTCGTCTTCCTCCTCGTGCTCCGAATGTTCCGACGCCGTCTGATACTCGTCGCCGTCCTCAGAGTTACACGACGCCGCCGAGTCGTCTTCAGATATCTGAAAGTAATTTTTAAAATACTATATTATTATTTCCACTGTTTTAAAGTTTCTTAAATCCAAAATATCCTTCAGTATCTTATTATATTGCCGTATGGTCCTCCTTTCCCGTATTGTAAGAAATGACTAAGGAAAATTAATGGTGGAGGAATGGGCAGCGATATTCCTTTTTTAACATCATCAAATTCTAACTGCGTTTGCCAACCCGCCTGCTTAGCATGGCAACAACTGGCAAAACCCCCCCAATAGGGGGAGTAGTGGACAGTTAACAGTTGGTGTAGTATTTTATTATAACATTTAATGTCCATTCCCATAAAATACTTATTAACTTTTTCTATATGATACTTCGGAACAGCAAATCTGTATTTTGAGTAGTATTAAGATTATTGGAATCGTTGTTTTTAAGAAATAGTTGATATTTGCATACGTGTACTGTGAAGATTACAATAGCACAAAGTTCAAGGTAAAAGGTAAATATAGAAAATATTTCTACAACTTACCTCTGCTTCGATAACTTGGCATTTGGCCATGTCGACAGTGAATATTGTTGCACCGTTGTCACCCGCCGGGGAGTTTATGCTCATCGGCTTTTCAGATTCGTTGCGTTGTAGTTTACCATCACCTTTAACGTAATATTAGTTAATGAATACATCTTTGAGAAAGTACATTTGAGTTTCTGAAGCCATTTTTGACATTTGTCTGTTATCTGCTTCCTATTTATAAACAAATCAACGGAGTTTGATATGGGTTTCATTGCCAGATTTTACGGAATAAATAAAAGATTTATGGATACAATAACATAAGTGGTGTAGTAATTGCATCCGTGTGAAACCAGAGTGGGTGCATAGTATTCTAATAAATATGAAATTTTGGATTTACTTTTAAGTACATTATAAAGTTGCAAAGAAAGCCAACAAAAACTACATTTTGTTAATATTAATTGATTAGTTATTTTTAATATCACTCACCGACTTTAAATATGTATCAAGAATTATTTTTGTTAACAACAAATCATTAAAAGGCATTCTTAATATTATTTTCTATAGCAGTTTAAATTACTTGTTGAACCTTAAGGCTATATTGTGCGTTACAGGAAACAGGGACCTTGTGGACAGACACTTAGAGATGACAGAACTTACCTATATCATAGTCAAATGACAATCGCCTTATAAAACTATCGTTTTTCGGACTCGTTGACAAAATAGACCTATTTTTTCTAAATGACGTATTCTTCTTACTATTTCTTTCGAACGCTTCTATTTTCCAATCGCAACGGCATTTCGAAGCCTTATCCCAGATCTCTGAGCACTCGCCCTCAGAGGTCGCTGGGGCTTTCGTCACCTCCGCCTCTGTCAATTCTTCACATATAAAACTAGCTAAACACCTAATATGGGCATCGATCACATGAGTGTTCTTGACCCTGGTTGTCCCTCTATAAGACACTGGTTTCCTTTCATCGTCAGAACTGAATATATCGTCGTTCGGACACCGTAACTTCACTAGAAACTCAACTAAATTATTTATATCGTCCAAATCGTGTGTCTGATGTTTGAATTTGAAAACGACTAGTTGCGCCAGCCTTGAATGTATCAACGCGAAGTCGATCTTCTGAAACCTCTCATCATCCATGTATGTGAACATTGTGTGTTGTAAATGTTTTGCTTCTCCTTTCAACGAATCGCCAGCTACTTCCGGTTCGGCTGTCAGTGAAAATATCAAGGCGTCCGCTATTCTTTTAGCGAAAACTTGGCATGTTCTTTCTATACATAATAATTGGTTGACGGTGTGGTTTATCGTGGGTGTTGATTCGCCATTCGTCAAGCTGTTTTTAAGACTCGGCTGTCTGCAGAGCCTTTGTCGGATTGGATCTGTTTTCCTCCAATGTGGGGGCCTATCAGATGATATCTTGCACGCCTTCAAAGCCACACATAATTTGGACATAGGACTCACAGTATCTTTGATGGGAGTAGACTGGGAGGATCCTAAGCTTATTCTGGAGAGAGATAAGTCATCGGGCGTCACGTGTGATTGCGCGCAACTGTCGCTGTATGCGTATGAACAGGCGCTCTCGTATTTGCTTTTTAAATAATTCTCCAATAACGTCAGACCTTCTAGCGTCCTTAAATCTGTGAAAGTGTCTAAGAATGGCCAATACTCTTTCCAGCCAATTTTCATTTCATCTGCTAAATTCCTGTAATAAAAAAATAATATTATTAGTAAACTATCTTTGACTTTAGAAATATAAAAAAGGCTTCTTAAATGTTCTTGATATAACATAACAACACTAGTTTTTGAAAATATCTAGTATCAGGTGAAAATACTCTAATTAATCCACACTAAATTACTATCGTGATTAAAAAAAAGGTTTCAAATATGAATAAGTATAAAGTTGCACCTAATAATTTATATAATTCATATTAATACATTAAACCTCATGTAAAAATATTTTTGTATAAATAAGTTTGTGATAAAATTCTCACCGGCCCACATTCTCGAGTCCCTTAGCGAGGTCCCGCAACCTGAAGGCAGGGGGCGCCAGGGGTCCCTTCTGAGTCCGCGGCGGAGTCTTCCAGCGGCGACGGAACTGGTCAGCTTCTCGCGCCGCCATGGGACCCGCGAACGCACGGATCTCGTACCGGGGACTCAGTGGATCACTGTTAATTTCCTGGAAACATTCAAAAATAATCAGTCGTGAAGTTCTGGCATAGAATAAGCCACCCCCTTCTTTCCCGTGAATGTCGTAAGAGGCGACTAAGGGAGGCCGAGGGATTGGTAGCAGCGTCCCTCTTAAAACATCTCCATAGCCTAACTACGGTGGCCAATCCGCCTGCCAAGTGTGGCAACTACGGCAAAACCCCCTAAGAAGGAGACTTATGTTCAGCAGTGAACAATTAAACAATAGACAACGAAGAAACAATAAAGAGTATCTATCTAAATATAAACTCACGGGCGGCACGGCTGGCGTAAAGGGGCGTCCAATGGTGGGCGCTCCACTGTCGTCCTCCGAGTGCAGCACCGGAACATAGTAGCGGTCCTGCAGCATCGTCGAGATACGTCGCACCGTCTCTGGCGACGACGATGATGATCTCTTGCAAATTATCTAGAATTGTTTTAAATTCAATCAGTTATAAAAAGTCTATAACATTTACTTATACAGGACATTTTAAAGTTATTTAAACCACGTAAATATTGAAGTGCATTTCAAAATATAAAAAGAGAAAATTATTCTTAAAAACATAAAAGTAGACATTATGTTTTAATGACAGAATTAAGTCACAAAAATTAATTCGGTTGAATTTACTTTCGTGTATTTTAAATAACAAGACTCCACTAGTTTCGGAAGGCGTGTAGTCAGGCTCGTGCTCACTTAATGGCCGCTCATGACTAAGGGTCATATATGGTCTCGAAACTAGTCAAGTATTCTCGACTAAAATACACAATAACTTATATTCTGTCGTTCTTACAATATAAAGAAATTGTTTAAATTAGTCTATATTTTTTCCTAAAATTTTATTGAAAAAAAAAAAAATAGAAACACTCGCCCTTTTGGTGAAATTTAAAGAGACTCCCGACCTCTACAACCCGTCCTTCTTTTATAAAATTTATCAGTGAGATTTTAAATAATGACGTATATTAGACATGTTTTAAATTGATGATAATGGAATGGAAACCCCGCGCTAACGGGGTTCCAATGAGGGATGATAGGTGAGAATGAATAGGCAGTAGGTCAGTTAGTCAGTTTGCCCATCGGAATTTAACACGATGGTTCCCAGAGGAGACTACGTAAATGTCAACCTGACAGGGTATATTGTCAGCAATGGGACTTGTAGTCCTAATTACTAACAATCCTTCCCCCCTTATTAAATATGTTACCAAATATATTTTAGGTTGGGGGAAGGTATTGTTAGTAATACGGGATTGTTAGTAATCCTTAATTGTTTACAAGTTGAACCCCAAAAATTCCGAAGTTTTTTTGCAATTTTCTCTATGCAGATAAATGTTAAAAGGTGAACAACTCACGTCCTTCGGCTGCTCGCCGTACTTGTTGACGGCGGTGCGGTTGCACTGAGGGAATGATGTGAGCACATCCACCGCATCCTCGGCGCCGAACTTGGCCGCGAAGTGCAGCGGCGTCTCATTCATCGCCTTGTCGGGCGTGTTCAGGTATCGGTCCATCAGAATTGATGCGAATTCCTGCATATTAACGTTGTAAGTATGGTTTATTACAGACTGTATGGAGATATTACCGTATTAAAAGGTTAATATCAAAATATTTTTTTATACTTGATATATTGAGTAAATGATATTTGTTTTTAAAAAGAACAATGTTATTTAATTAAATACATAAATGGTGCCGGTAAAGTTGTAGAAAATGCGTAAATAATTTCATGATTGAGAAAAACATTCAACAAACATATGTATTATGTTAGCAAAAGGCAAAATTACATCAATTCACATTTAGAATTCTAAAAACTGTGTAGGCAGATTGTAATTTGCACACAATACCTGAACAATTACAGCATACAGAGTTATACAACAGTCAGATTATGAAAGTAGTTTACCTTACAAGATTCGGGATCGGCGTCCGCCCCATATAGTGTCTGTACAAAGGTGGGATTGCCCACCGTTGTCAGTATTAAGTTGCATATTTCTGCGTTCATCGATTTCGCTGCAACGTGGAGCGCGTTATACCGAGAGCCTTCCTGTAAATACATTTTATTTAGCCACTTCTAGGCACGGGTTTCGCCTTATAAGAGAAAGCTCATTGTTTTCTTAGTGTGATAATGTCTTTTATTTTTTTGTATTTAACTAGTCTGGCCATAAATACTCTTATATAATTTTTTCCCCTTTTCAACTTTTATATTATTTTGAATTTGGAACACGTTTATTATTTTTAAAACTTCTTTCGATTTCGCGCCATTTCACATTAAATTAATAATATGGAATAGGGTGTTAAAGAAAATAGGATTGCAGTGATCGCCTTGCAGAAAGTGGGTATGGAGGCGTCAGTCATATTCCAGACACTTCAAAAGCTTGTTATCAGCCGTATATTCGTATATCGTACTATCAACAGATACAATAACACTTCCTCTGTCGAAGACCAGAAAAGATTGGGATGGCCGCGTGCTGTTAGAACTACAAAAGCTATTAATGCTCTTAAAGCCAGAATTAATCGAAACCCCATTAGGAAGCAAAAAATCTTATCGCGAGAAATGAAGATTTTTGCTAGGGCTCTGTCGCGTATTACAAAACGAGACCTGAAGCTTGGTGCTTATCGTCGATATACAGGACATGCACCAAATCAATCTTTACAATTAAAAAGAGTGGATCGATCAAAACGTCTTCTGTTGCGATACGCAGGTGAAAGGCACAGAAATATCCTCTTTACCGATGAAAAAATTTTCACGATTGAAGAACACTACAATAAGAAAAAATTATAAAGTGCACGCTCACAGTTCTAAAGAAGCTGCTCGAGTGGTCGGAGAGGTACGACATGGTCATCATCCTTCGTCAGTGATGGTTTGGTGGGGTGTGTCTTATCAAGGAGTTACAAAACTACATTTTTGTGAAAAAAGGAGTGAAAACTTCAGCCTAAGTGTATCAAGATACAGTCTTGGATCGTGTTGTGAAACTTCTTAGCAATACACTTTTTTTAAATATACCGTGGACCTTCCAGTAGGTCTTTGCACCTGGTCACAAGGCACGAACTACCCAAACCTGGCTTGAAACCAACGTTCCGGACTTTATAAGAGCTGGCCCTTATCAAGCCCAGACCTAAACCCTTTAGACTTCAAATTGTTGTCAGTTTTAGAGAACATGGCCTAGTTTAAACGACACAGCGACATTGAGTCTCATGAATATCTTTGGAGCAAGCAGTGACGAAATTTCCCTTAGAAACAGTGCGTAAATCCATAGATTCGTGGCCAGACAGATTAAAGGCATGTATAAAAGAAAAAGGTGGCCATTTCGAATAGATTTTTTTTTTGCTAAGACTTTAATAAATATGTAGGTATAAATTTTAGTACTTCATAAAAAAATGCATTTTTATTTGTAAAAGAACTTATGGCTGGACTAGGTATATAATTTTTTAGTTATCGATTTAATGTACTGTATATAATACATTTGTGATGATCTTTAATAATCTAAATAAATAATTTTATTATTTTTTTTTCTGCATTGTTTATCTAAAATTTTTATTAGAAAAAAAATAATGGATAGTAAAGCTAAAAATACTAGATTACATACTTGCATGATAGCTGGCGTGTTGCCACTGCTGATGAGGAACCGAGGGTTCTCCCAGACTCGGTCACGAACGGTGGTGGCCAGGCCGGCCTCGATTGCCTTGCGCAGTGCCACCATGTCCTGTGGTGATGGAGCTTTGAACGGGTATGGTTTTTCTCCCATTAAAGCTGAAATAATAGGTTTAAAATTAGTCACGTATATTTTTATAAATTTATACTAAGTTTTTTTTATCATAATCATTTGCTTGGGTACCTCTGTCCCATTCGTGTTTTAACCGTGAAACAGTTGTTTGCACGGCAGGAATAGCAATGCATGTGCGAAACAGTATACTCTGTTATGTCTATGATACTGTTCATGTCTATAGGCGACGGTTACCACTTTCCATCAGGTGGGCTGTCAGCTTGTTTGCCATTCTAAATTGCATAGAAAAATTACGCGTACGTGACTAATTCTGAAGAAACTTCTTTACCGTTTTTTTTTTCTTAAGAACCTTTTTTTAATATTTCCCTGAATGTCAAACTGTTGTTACGTTAATGCTGGCCGCAGCGATAGGGATTTCTGCGGCTAATATTAACGTGTGATTATGATTTTCAATATCGAAGGTAATAATGCGAGGAGAGTTTGGTATGAGAAAAAAAAATAGTTGCGACACAACAAACAATACCTAAAATGTATAGGAATAAGAATGATTATCCTTCGAATTTAAATTAGATGTAACAGATCAGATCTCAATTAAATTTAAGGACTATCTTTATAAGGTATATCAGGATGGAACGAACAACGATTAGCATTCAAAGTATTCTGTTCTCTATCTATCTAACCTTAAGTGTTATTTTCTATTAGCCTCGCAAGCAGAACCGTTCTCAGTTGTAATATAGATAGTACGTTACGATGAAAAACCTGGCGTCCTTTAAGAGGTATTTGTCGTGGCAGGTAAGTTGTTTAGTGCAAATTAAGTACCGGATACTATTATCGATCAGTTTAAAAGATTTTTTTTATATACCAACTAGAGTCTTGTTCTAGGTTAAGTCCATAGGTCTTGTCCGTTTCTTATAACACATCCTAACTTAGGGACCATCCAATTAGTAACCATGATTACGTGGCATTTATTATTACTTTATATTTCGTTGGCTGTTGAATTATTAATAGACAAAGGCTCGGCCCATTTCACGCCGTCTATCAGACCCCGTGCTAAAAATTACACTCCACTTAGTATATTAGGCAATCAATTAGGCTATTCACATGTTAATAAAACTCATTCGTTTTATTGAACTAAAAATTTGCATTTATGTAGGTTACAATTGTAATTAAAAACTTATGTCGCCTACTGTAGTTAATATAAAAATAAATATGATGATACTGCGAGGAGTTATCAGAACGATCATTAGCGTTGTGCTTGCACTGGTATTTGTCGGCACTCACTACCTCTCTTTCGAACTGGCTTAACCCCACTCGATGATAGGGGGGAAGGGATTGTTTGTGACGGTGATTAGCAATCCTGTTGCTAGCAATATAACTGGTTGATGCGATTTATTGAATGTTGTAGCGCATGAATAGTGGACGTGGACTCTCTAAATCCAATTGGTCTAAAGAAGGATATGTTCTTTTTGTCAGGTTTGTTAGGTTTAGGGATAATTCTTATGACTGCATTTTTCCAGTTATCAGGAAAATAACTATTTGAAGATATCGATTGAATACACCAACACTGATATGAGGAACAGCACAAAATGCATGAAAACAAATATTCGAGGTCAAAGAGTCCTCTCCTGGTGTTTTGTTTGGATTCATAGATACCAGGCACTCCTCGATCTCGTCATACGTAAAAGGTAAGTCTTTAAAGGTATTTGAAACGTTTTACGAGTCATTTCTAATCCGGTTCATAATCAGAAGAAAAAAGTTTAGGGAGGGCCTCAGCTGTGCTCATCCCCTAGTTGGTGAAATACTGACCATTTTTGATTCGCTGCTGTGGAGGTCTACTCCTACCTTCATGCTTCATTAGTCTATTGGTTATGGGCCAAATGTCCTCTTTGCCCTGGGCTGTGCAATAATTTCTAAAATGTTCTGTAGACGATCTTGACAATTCCTTAGCGTACCTATTTTTTAGCGTGCGATATTCCTCTACGATATTTTGACATGGCTTTCCAGCCACAGACAGATAGTGAAGACGGTGGTGAAGCTTAATGCATTGCTTTTTCATTTTTTCTAAGTCACCATTCCACTAGGGATTAGTGCTGCTAGCTTTATTCGTGCTTCGATTCTCGTCGTTAGCCTGTATTTAGGCGAGCCCAAGGGTCAACAAAAGGCGTTTGTTTTGCTTTGTCTTCACAACCTTGTCCTTACACATTCAATATTTTTTTACGACCTTTGTTCTTTTACGACCCTTGCTTTATTGTTAACTATCTGTTTACCAAATGTTGTATTCTAGCGAGATTTTAACCAGTTCATTGTTTCGGCAGTTAATTTTTTATTTGTTGTGGTAGTTACATTTATTGCTCGGAACGTTCACAGGGACACGCTCCAGCGTTGAATTTTTCTTTATACCTAATATTACAATTCGTTTAATTTCGTTTTGACACTAATTTTAGATAATATTTTGCTTTCGCGATTTTTGAGTCGTCAACATTCTAATTTATAGGCACAAGAGGACACAACTTATAATGCGAGTAATAAAACCCATATATACATTTTGTTGGTGTTTCTTATCAACTGTTATATGCTTGTAGTAAAAACAAAATTATAGACTTGTAAACATCTGCCATAGAAAATTACACATACATGAATTATAAATAAGGTTACTTTTATCCAAGTATTGGGGGAATAATATTTTATAGTTTTGCTGAATTTTAGCATTCAGCATTAATATTCATAGATTTAAAAAACACAATCTTGACTTAACGCGATGAAAAAGCTTTTACAGGTAAATAGTACCTGCTTCTTATTACTGACGTTTCAACGTCGACGTTCTCCACGTAGTGGTCACGACAGGACAACTTTTACCTGTAAAAGCTTTTTCATCGCGATAAGTCAGGATTGTGTATTTAAAAATATGTGTAGACAACGCGAAAATTTAAAATTATCTAATATTCATAGAAACCACAGGCGACGATTACCACTTTTAATCAGATGGTTTGATGACTTAATCCGCCCGTTTTGCCGCCCATTCATTCATTCATCCATTCTTATTATTAAGCAATGGATTACGTAGAACTTGGCTCTTTATGAAATTAGAAAAACAAAGCAACAGATCATGTGCATATTTTTCAACAAAAAAAAAAAAAAGAAAACAGGTCAGAGCAGTGTCCAGAGGTGTTTGAATTGACTCTCCAACACAAGGTTTAGTAGATAGGAAAGATCTCACAGGGTTTCTTTGTTGAGTCGCTTTCTGTTATAGCAGCTTGCAGCTATATATATAAACATACACATATTTATTAGTACGCATACAACAGGTGAGAATGACGGAGGAAAATAAAGAGAGAATAGAGGAAAATAGTACTAGAGGGAGTGGTAGTAGGATTTAAGAGAGGTATTGAAGCTAGTGAGAGTTTGAGCGCTAAGAATAGAGGCAGGTAGTGAGTTCCACAGGCGAACTGTCTGCATAGTAAAAGATTTAAAATAAAAGGAAGAAGAATGAGCGGGAAATTTAAAGCGGAGATTGTTAACCCTGCATAAAGTATGGTCATTAGCTTCACTGAGAAACACGAATCGGTCTTTTAGATAATCAGGAACAACGAGGTTAAACAGGATTGCGTAAAGAATATAGGATACTCGTATGCAGATTACTATGAAAATGGATAGGGAGCAACTTGAATATGGAACGAATACATACATTTTGAAGACACTCAAGCTTGTTTAATTGCTCTTCAGTGACGTCTAAATAACAGGAGTCGACATAATCGAGAATGAACAGGAGTAGTGTGGGCGTGCGCAATTTTGGTATTGATAGGGAGGAATTTACGCAAATTATTCAAGGCACTAGTAGCAGCAAACATTTTTTTATTGACCTCCGAGATTAAATTTGTCTCTTAAGAGGGTGAAATAGGGGTTGAAGGTTTTGGGGTTGAGGACCATTTATCATTTACTTATTCGCGAGTAAAGTAGTTTTGACATATAATAGCATGGGCCTTACGATACGCGGTTGGTACATAATTTAAAATCTTTTTTCAGCACTCTTTTATTTTATGTAATTGTTTAAAGTTTTTATCAATACTGACGACTGAAAGAAACCAATACACATCGATACGAATGCCATTACACGATAGATGTATAAATAATAATTATTGTAAACGCTACGCTACCAAGGCCAGGTGAAAGATCGTCTTGGCACAATGTGTTTTACGTCAGCTGTTGCCTCATGTTACAAGTGAATTCACTATGTATTTACAACTATAACTAGATAAGACATAATACACCTACCGGCTGAAAGTGAAACCTTTTTGTACCCTAAAAACCCTACCACATACTGTTAGCATTACTACTAATTCAGTAATGCTAACATACTACAGTCTCCTTTTTATGTTTCCAAAGTATTCTTAACACACCTAGATACCTAAATGCGCGGAAGAGGGAGATGTTGTGTATTGTTTTTTTTTTAACTTTGGATAATAATATAATGGTAACCCCGTCTGTGTTATCGGTATACACTGACTGACATCAGTGAGGTATGATAAGTGAAGGTGAAGCATGTCAGTTAGTCCATCGTGACAAATTTACCAATATATAAGCCACAATGGTTTTCAGGGGGTACCACTAGGAGGTCGATCTGATAGGGTATAGTAACAAGTTCGCTAATCCTCATTACTAATAATCCCTCCCCCCGGAGGAGGGGGGGTGTTAATTTCAGGCCGGTAATACGCACGTAATACCTTCTATATTCTAATCGGTTTATGCAACACGAAATGGAAAATAATTTAACGGGTTTACCTAATGAAAAGTGGAATAGCATCATGTCATCACAGAAAATACTGTAATGCTCATGGTACTCATGTGTCACTATTTTTCATATAATACCTTGGTATAAATTACATTTTTCCCAATTTTCGTTGAGACTTCAGTATACCTGGGTGACTATGCCAGCCTTAAAGGGGATGTTTAAATGTTAGGTTTGTTGTGTCAGATATATTTTATTTTATCATTCTCAATTTATCACTTATAATACAATGTGTATAATTAAATACTGTGTAGGTATTAATCAATAATTATATCTGTTGAAATGAGAACATAACCTATGACTTACAGTTATCATTCCCATCTATTGTATCCACAGGTTCAGCACCCCTCAGGGCAAAGGAGACAGCATCCTGATAGTTGTGAAATGCCTTGAATCTGGCTAACTTGTAACGACGCACCAGTTCCAGAGCTTCCGACTTGTTCTTGTAAACATGCAGTGCCTCTGTTGATTTTAAAGAACATTTCAAAATTATTTTAGTCATAAGAGAGTGAAATTTAAATAAATAGCATTCTTTAAAGGCAGATTTCAACCCACAAACACGGATTGAAAAAGGACCAAACAATATTTGACTCTCCCGTACTATTTTAATAGCTGGAAATGGCACATTAACATTATATTCAATATTTTTAGTCATTTCTCAATTCATATACATTAATGTTTTCAATTTCACCTTTATCATCATCATATCAGCCTTTAACTGTCCACTGCTGAACATGAGCCACCCTCCTTCTTAGAGGGTTTTGCCAATAGTTGCTATACTTGGCAGGCAGACTGGCAACCACAGTTAGACTTTGGATTGATTATTATTATTATAATATAGGAAAATTTATTATTTCTTTTCCAGAAAAGTTTCATAAAAATAATGTGTTTTGGTTTGAAGGGTGGGATACAGCAGTGAATTTACAGAATACAGAGGAATAACACCTGAAACATCAGGAATGGCAATGCATAGGGGGTATCATGGATGAAACAGTATACTCTGTTATGTCCATGGTACTGCTCATGTCTATAGGCAATGATTACCACTTTTCATCAGGTGGGCTGTCAGTTTTTTGCCATTCTAAGTTGCATAAAAAAATAAAGATTTAATTATGATACATAGAATGTTCATTTATATCTACAATTAACTGCTGGATAATGCTATATGGTGTTAAGTCCGCTTTTTATACTATCTAAATGTGTTAAATAAATAAATATAACCTATAGGATAATCTAACAATAATGATTATTTGCTTGAATGTTTATTACCATTTATTATTATAAGTAGATATAATTGCCTAAAATAAATAGAATTCTTATTTCATCTCATAAATACAAAAATATAAAAATACACAACAATTTTACAACACAGTGTACACTGTGTGTGTAAAAGTCAGTGTAAAATCTTAAAAAGAATCCCATGTCATAATGTTCCTTTATGCTAATCTCAAAAACTCAATCTCAAATGGTGCCAAAGCAATTTTAATGAAATTTATATATATAATAGATATCAGGAAACATATTTAGATATTTAAAACAAGCAAGAGAATACTTTTAGATATATATTGTATGTGTATACTTTATGCATAACCATAATTATTTATTGTTGTCACAATATAACTAGTTATAGTTTCCGTTTAGAAATTTTGTTAATAACATAATTGCCATCAATAAGGTTTATTATGTACTAATGTATTAATTTAATGTATACTAATGTGTGTTCCATACTATTTTAGTCACAAAGATGTTTTTTTTTCTGTGAAACTAAATTTATTATACATGCTATTTTTTTTTAATACAAAAGAGATTCTATTAGTTAAAATATATAAAAATCTGTAATATTTTAGAGAAATTTTACATTTCTATATGACTGATATTTTTACAATTAATGTGTTGTTACATCTTATTATAGTTTTTTTATACAGTAATCTATTATATTGATCTCTTTAGAAAAAAACATGTAAAGTTTTTTTACTAAATATGCTAAGTAGGTACAATAAAAACAATTTATATGTATGTTATTAAAGATACTTTCAATCAGTAGCAATAGATAAAAAAAAATATAGATATGAGTGATACAATCATCATTGAAAATTAAACTTTAATACCATAGTAGCTATGTTCATGATTGTTGGATCAGTAAATCATTTAACCTGTTCCAAATAATACAAATAAGTCAAATTTAGGATTGTTTGGTCAAGCTGTAACGTCACATAAACAAATTCACTTTCACATTTATATTATTAAGACTAAGGGTTATCACAATAATTTTATTATTATTCTCTTGCTTTGCGGAGAGTAGTCACATGTAGACTACTGAAATTTTGTATACAAGTAATAAGTGTGTAACATATAGTTAGTAGAGTCATCAGATGGATTAATTTTTCTGATATTACTTAATTGGTTTAATTCATTAATAATATTAAGTGATTAACATGCTTCATTCACATGTGGCATTTTAAAATACTAAGATACATATAAATATATTAATTTAATTACATTCTTTAAATGCCCTACTTAGCGGAATAATCTTATCTTAAGCCTTTGTTTTCAAATGATAACCCCAAATATTAATGCATCAGTAATCTATTATATTGCAAATAACCTTTAATGTATACAAACCTTCATCAGGTCCTTTCTTGATTTCACATGGTATGTAAACTCCATAATACGTAGCTGGTGGCTCTGTAGACGTCGGGCTCCCAGGAGCAGAATTTCTTTTAAGTGAATCTAAACGCAGTAGTCGACTGAACAAACCAATTGCACCATCTTTTTTGTCGTTCGGGGACAACGCTATTTCGTCCTTGATCCCCCCAAAATTCTTGTTACATTCTGGTATTATTATAGCCTTCGACATTTCGCCTCCTAAAAATGGTAAACAAAATAGGTAGCACTGTTTTGTTTGTGACGCACAGATATAAGGCCGTTTATTTTTACAAAAGCATGTCGCTCACTTTTAAATAAAAGATGTCATAAAAACATGATGAACGCTTTGATGCCGAATAACTATACTTCAATACATGTCGTCAGATATTAAAATACAGTTTATTTTAAAAGGGTGTGTTTAATATAAAATTAAAATGCGTCTGTCGAGACGGACGAATGGATGACGTTTTGACAATTTCGATTTTGATATGACAATCTTGACAGTACTAAACGATTTCCGTACGTTTACGTTCATATATTTAGTCCATGGATTTGGTTTATGGTTCAGCCTTAGCAGATTTAGCCTTAAATGCCTTTAATTATATTGCCCAAAATAGTTTATAAACAAATTGAAAGTACAATATGTGTGGCTGCTTCAAAACACAAAATTAAAAATTTTATTGTAATTGACCCTTACGGTCAATTTCACATTGACAGACTAAGATCAAATCAAATATTTAATCAGAGTACTTTTTAAATAATCAATCAGAAATATTGATAATTGAAAAAAATTTTTTTTTTTTTTTTTAATAAAAATATGTATTTACTGTGTATCACACTTTTTGTAAAATGAAGAAGTACGAAAGAAAATGCAAAGCTGTCTTTTTCATCTACCAAAAGGCGCTAGTGTAGAATTAAACCAATGATCAAAATTGAAATGAACAATAATATTATTTAACTTTTAGGTAGCTAAAAGAACATTCTGGTGGTAAATAAAAAGCAGTCATATTTATATCTTTTAAGAATATAGAATAATTTATTTGATATTGAGCACGTGTGTATGTGAAAAAGAGAGCTTCAATATCTTATTCTAAGAACAAAGAGTTCAAAAATGTTTGATCTTACTGTATAAAATTATATCATTGTTTTTATAACCAGACATTTATGTATTCACGTGTACAAAAATACAGTACTTGTTGAATAACAGGTATTTAGAGTTCAATTGCAATAAAAAATAGTTGTTTATCTTATCATTTTACTTAAAATTGTATCATATTTTTTCTTTAGTAACCTTAGAAATACTAGGCAAAGTATGGATTTTAGGTTTTGCAATAAAAAATTATACAAGGGTAAAGAAGTATAAGAATAATTTGAAATACAAGGTTGAAGATATACTAAATTTACAGGCATAAATATCTAGTAATTATTGTAAATTAATAAACAAAATTTTATCATTATATTTTATTATTTCAGTTAGCTTTTCTTTTCTTTTTTTTGTTTACATTTTTATTATTATTTTTAAGAAGATCAGGATCAGATTTGAGTGTTTTATCTATTGTAAAAGCATACAATCTAGCGTTAATTTTCTTCATTTTTTCTAATTCTTCTCTAATTATCAATTCTTTTTGTTTAAATTCATTTTCCATCTCCTTTGATTGACTAGACTGAATTTCATTCTCATGGATTACTGGCCAAAAAGGTATTTTCTTGTTTACTAATACTTCTATTTCTGTAACATCATCTGAATCTTTTTCTAATGTCCTGTCTAAACTATGTAGAATAATATTAGGAGAAAAGTCTTGTTCAAATATTGCTGGAAAATTAACTGTAAAAAATGCATTAGTTACAGGTCCTTTATGGCGTATGGTTCTAATTGGTTGCAAACTGGGTATGTGCCATAGAATAACTTGTTCATCACTTGAACCAGACATCAAAGTTTCTCCGTCCAATGACACTGATAAACAGTTAACTATTTTAGTATGTCCATGAAATGTAGAACAATTATTTTCAATATTAATTAGTACATCCCTGCTTCTTGGAGGGTTGGTGAGGCTGAATTGATGGATTTTGCCTTCTGTGGTCCCAATAAAAATATTTAATTCTAAAACATCCATTGTTATTGCTGACAGAGGTACATCAAAGACCAAATTCAAGAGCATTTCACCTGAAGCTAAATCATATATTTTACACAATCTATCACAAGACACAGTAGTTAAACGACCATGCATGCCTGTTTTGCTGATGTACAAGTCTGTCACAGGCAAGGAATGGTCAGAAAATATATATACTGGGTCATGTTGACCAGCTATTGTTTGGGCAATATGCTCTACCTCTGGATGAGCTGCAACAGCAACTAAAGACCATACCATCACCATTCCATCTTCTGCTGCTGAAACAAAAAACCTTCCATCTGCAGTAAACTTTATTGCTACAACTTTTTGATAGTGACGGTTTATAATTGTTAACAAGTTGCCTGATGATGTTTGCCACAAATAAATTTTCTCATCTATACCCGCTGCTATGAAAGATCCATCGCGTGTAATAGCTAAAGCATTCGCTTTACCGGGTAAAATGAAACGCATGCCTTGCACGGTCTGTTGAGAATTCAGGGGCCAAACATGTAAAATTGGTTTAGTTCGCTCAACAGCTGCTATGTAATCATTCCCGATTAAAGACAGAGTTTTCATTTCAGCTGTTCCGCCACCTTTGTAAGTCATGAGATTTGTGCCGGTATGTGGATCCCAAACACAAGTTGTCCATAGTGGATTATTTGAATCACATGTTATCAAAACTTCCAAAAGAGTTGACATTATATAGTTTTACGCTTTACTTGTTTGATACGGTGTCTTAACAGTTTCTTCAGGTTGGCACTTGTTTAGTTTTAGTATATATATATATTAATTTGTAACAGGTGATTAATTAAATAAAGTCCCATGTGGTGTTGATTCTCGGATTTTAGTATGTATGAATGGGGGGGAGGTCTTTCTGCTATCCTATTAGTGGATGTCAATGTCTGTGATCTGACATTGGCAGATCTGTATTCGAATTACTCGATAAACCAATAGCGTATAAGAAGGTTTCTCATTGGCTGACACAGTAGTTGTTGATTTTTGTCATAGACGATTGTTCTTTAAACGTCAACTTGCAAAAATTTCATCTTTAAGTGTAGAAACATAATATATAGCTGTGGGAATCAGTCTGCAAGACACAGCAATATGTTTAAAAAGTAAGTGTAGTATATTTTTCTGATAAGCTATTATTATCATTTACTATTGATTAATATTTCGTTTCGAAAGCAATTTGTAGGTTATCTACTAGTTTTCGGAATTCGTCATGCTATTGGTCAAAATAATGACATTACTTATTTCACCAGTCGGATTCTTATAGATATATTTCTCTATGGTACAATTTTCTGTAGTGATGTGCGTGGTTGAATTATCCTTGATTTTTTAATCGCATTATCAAGTTATTTTGAAATTAATTCTCGTTTAATATTTTTTACTTTTTTTTTTAATTCAATACATTTATTGTTGTCATTAAATAAGTGCGTGTATTTAAATTTTGTTCCACCTTGTTCGATCCTTGTCTGTAGACATTATTATTTTCATAAATATATTGTTTTATTATGTACCTATGGTACTTTTAAAAAAAAAATTATGTAATATTATAAAAATAAATATTGGCTATGACTATAATCCTTAGGGGGGGAAAGATATTGTTAGTAATGGAGACTGGGAATCCCATTGCTAGCAAAATACCTAACCAGTTTGACCTCCTCGCGGTTCCCCCTGGAAACTATGGTTAATTCCTGATGAATTCATCATGATGGGCTAACTGACCTGTTTTCATTCTCATCTATCACCCTTCACTGGTGCTTCGCCAGCGTATCCCGTTAGCGCAGGCGGAGCTACCATACCATTTTCATCCATCAAAAAAAAAAAAAAACTAATCCTTAATGGGGTAGCCAGAAGCATTGGCCTATTTATTACCATTATGGTGAATGTAGCACTCGTCGAGCTTTACCTGTGTTTTCCATCACCTGAGATTTATTATTTATTTATCAAAAATTTTAATTAATACAAATAATAATTAATGTTGATCATATTAGAATTCGCTACCTTTAAGTGTATAAGTTAGAATAGTGTACCACTGGCCTACGATTCTCTAGTGTTTATAATTATTTTAAGATTAGGATGTTTTTTGGGTAGGCGAGTTCTTTTCATAATATATATATATATATAAAAATATAAAGCTTTTTAAAGCCCGCTGTGTAAATAAATAAATGTTGTGTGTACACGTTTATAAATTATAAGCCATTTTTCCAATGTTATTAACACTATCGATTATTAGTTAATCGATTATTAGTTCGAATAATACGACTATTAACGAATCGATCGATTGACCAACACCAACAGAAAAGTTGCGTGGCGTGCCGTGAATCGTCGTTGACCGTGGAACGAAACGAACGACAGTCTCTACGACACTTCTTTTTGCAGCTGTTCTTGATTGATCGGTCATTGCGTCGTGGATTTCTAATTTTCATTTTAAACATCTTTAATTCTAAATTCATATGTGTTTGAAAATGTAATATAACAAAATCAAAGACGTTAACACTGTGCAGTCATCGAAACAAAAGACATTGCATGTGCTTTGATTTCATGACGTAACTGGATTCTTTGGAATAATTGTGTTTGGGTGAAATAAAGGTCGTGTTCGGCCGAGGATCGGTCGATGCGGCAGCTTCTCGTGCGTCGTGATTTTTGACAGCACTGAATATGTGGGATGTGGATTCTGATTCGCGGAGCGCGTCCTCGGACGGGCTCCGTCGTCGTCAAGGATGGGATCCCGAAGCGGAGAGTCTTGCTTCGCAGATGGACGAGCTCGACGAAGTGCTTGCCGAAGAGGAAGAAGGATGTCCATTACCCTCTACACCCGAAGATCAACATCTGTTGGATGCAGAAATGGCAGAAGTGTTAAAAGCTGGTGTTTTATCCGACGAAATAGATCTTGGTGCTTTAGCGCATAACGCTGCCGAACAAGCCGAGGAGTTTGTCCGTAAAGTTTGGGAGGCGTCGTGGAATGTTTGCCATTTTAGGCACCTGCCGCGTTGGCTTCAAGACAACGACTATCTGCATAAAGGACATAGGCCTCCACTTCCTTCCTTTAGTGCGTGTTTCGCATCTATATTCCGTATTCATACTGAAACTGGCAACATCTGGACCCACTTACTTGGTTGTGTGGCATTCATTGGAGTAGCCATTTATTTTTTGTCTCGCCCATCTATTGAAATACAAATGCAGGAGAAAATGATCTTTGGTGTATTTTTTGTTGGCGCAATAGTTTGTTTAGGATTTTCATTTGCTTATCATACCCTTTACTGCCATTCGGAGATGGTTGGAAAATTGTTTTCTAAGTTGGATTACTGCGGGATAGCTCTCCTGATCATGGGTTCATTTGTTCCGTGGTTGTATTACAGTTTCTACTGCCACTACAGGCCTAAAATCATATATTTATCTGTAGTGGTTGTTTTAGGAATTTTGTCAATAATAGTGTCCCTTTGGGACAGGTTTTCCGAGCCTCGCCTGCGACCTCTTCGAGCGGGAGTGTTTATGGGTTTTGGACTGTCAGGAATAGTGCCAGCAATTCATTATGGTATCACTGAAGGTTGGTTTAGTCAAGTCAGCAAGGCATCTCTTGGTTGGCTGGTTTTGATGGGTCTACTATATATATTAGGTGCTATGTTCTATGCATTACGAGTGCCTGAACGCTGGTTCCCTGGAAAATGCGACATTTGGTTTCAGTCACACCAAATATTCCATGTCCTTGTAATTGTAGCAGCATTTGTACATTATCATGGTATCAGCGAGCTCGCCTCTTACCGTGTCACAGTTGGGGAATGCTCTATGCCTCCATCTTCTATTGCATTCTAGCCCCTTCGTCAAATGTGATAGTAGACCATAGATAAATTTAAGTAGGTAACAAACCATTTAATAGCTACATCATATATTTTTAAAAATGTAAATTTAATACATTTTGTAAATTTTTAAACAACATGATTAAGTACTATGTTTAAATAACCCATAGAGGCTGATAAAATCATTGAAAATAATGAAGTTATGGTAGTGGAGAGGAGGGGTAAAGGGGTCATATTTTTATCTTTTTATTGTCTGCAACTGGCAAGTAATTTAATTCTAAGCTCTCATTTTTAACACCACATTCACTGAAGATTGCAGTTTGCACACACAGTCTATAATTATTTGAAGTACACTTTCTATTATTATTGTACTTAATTTTTTGGACTTTATTTTACTACAACTAAAATGTAAGATCATTTTTAGAGTAGTGTAGTACAGACCACTAAATAAAATAAATTGTTCTTCCACAAAATATTTCATGTATATAATTCTTCCATGTCCAACAACATTGTCAATGTGTTAAAAAATCATTGTAATATTATTTTCATTAAAATTATTTTATTTATATTTTCTACATCCACATTCATTTATATTCTCAGCTTTATAGCACTGTAGTCCTATACTGATAGATTGTTGATTGATATATTTATATTGATACTTCATTTACTTTGTTTTTGTTTCTTTGTAGGTATAATTTTTATTGAGGGTATATATAATTTTTTTAAATGTAGTGTAAAAGTTAAATACCAATGGGTCTAGATATATTCAGCAAGTACACAGCCACTTTGAAGATACATTCCATATTTTATCTCAGCATAAGCTGTTTTCATAGTAGTAATTTGTTATTTCTTGAAATACATAAGTACCTTTATCACTACTAAAAATTATTGGTCATTATGTGCATATTTTCATAATTATTTTGAGGTCTGTATTAGGAATAAATAGACATGTATTTCGATTAATTGAAAGTATATTCTAAATTGTTGTAAGTGTTCATATGTGTAAAGATTTTATGAGAATGAAAATAATAAAAAAATGTGATGTATATTGCTCTATCTTTAAACAAAAAACTTTGGATAGATATTTGAAAGGAATATAAATTAATACTGTACCTATAATGTTGGGAAATATGTAAAATACTATTGTTGATATTGCAATATTATTATATTTTATAATAACATAAGTAACTTCTGTTGAATAAATTTCTGAGAAAATAAAATTATTAAGAACATCTTGAAAACAAACCCTTTTAAAAAATATCACCCTTATCTTTCAGTAGTAGGAAAGAGTAATTTTAACTAGTTAATTGTCTTGAAAGATATTGCAAAATCAATGATGATAATAAATAAATCTTATGGGCTCCATGAATGGTCAAGCAAATTAAGTCAAGTATGTATATACTGCTGCTTGTCGAAGACATATAGAGTTGTTCCATTTTCTTGGTATTACTAGCAACAGTAAGTGTTTGCTTGACTCGAGCTGCTTGACCATTTATGGAGTCCATTATACAATACTGTAAAGACAATGTCTTAAATTATAATAAAGTAAAATTAAGCATCTGAATTAAATAAGTACAGCTTTCTTATACTAACAAATGAGTTTGAGAATGTTGTTACATTCTTTTTGAATTTCATTATGGCATATCAAAATTAAATCGGGGTATTTGACTGATGATGAAAGACAATATAAATATTTGATTATATGTTACTTTATTATGTGAACATTGTTTGCTTAGTTTTGTTGTCCATTAGACCACTGAATTAAAAACATTTCTTTGTTTTAGAATCTAATAATAATTTAAGTAAAATTGTATTCAAGAAGTAGGCACAAAATTAGATTCCAATATGATTTTAGCACGTTATATTATTATTTGTAGTTCTAACACTGTACGTATTAGAAGTATTTGGATCTAAAAATCAAATTGTAATAAAAGTGTTTACTTACTGCTTTCATTGTTCTTGGTAAGATTTGTTGAATACTTGTTTTGGTGGGATTTGATTATGCAATAAATTATATTAAAATCATTATTTGTTTTATTTGTAAATATATTATAGAGTTCTATAATTAAGTATTAGATTACAGTATTAATAGATATCTCATTACGTGATAATGAACAATTAATACTTAATTGTTTTAATACCATGTAATGAGACATCAAAAAACTCTGAAAGCTGTTTTATCCAAGTATATAGGGCGCGAGTAGGTTTGTAGGCAGGCCCATATTTGGAACTTTATCAGAATTCGAAAGTAAGACAAATTTCTTAGTTTCTACACTTTTTTTAATTACCTATTTTTTTAAAAACTTAAATTTTAACAAATTATGAACAACAAACTACATATATTAAGCTCACTCATTATGAAGTGATCATCGTCAATTTAATGTAGGTACATACAGATAAAAGGGCATTACAGATCTCTACGGTTATCGGTTTTTCACTAGTTTTTGTCCGTTACTTCATACGTGTGGATTTTGGAAGTAGATAGCCACATCTAGATGGCGTTTCAATATAAAACAAATACAAGATTTTGACTTAGATTTTTAAGAAAACAACAGTGAAATCGCATTTCTATGAATTGTTGTCTTCATTTCTATTATTCTTATGTACATTATTACTTCACCAGTACATATATAATTTTTAGTAAATATCTCCTATGCTAGTATATAGACATCGTCTGTCAATACCATCGTAAAAAGTTTAATGTTAGCTTTTTATCCGCTACTTCGTACCCTTTGATTTCAAGCGTAGGAAAATCAATAAAATTGACCACTTCTAGGAATGTCACTTAGATCAATATAAAACACATAATACGAGTAATAATAATGAAGCCTCTTTATTCCAATTTTGTTACAACTTTAGCAAAACATATTTTCCAGATCTATTTATTACAATATGTCTCGTAATTTGGCGTGCCTCCTGGCATAAGCCTCCTCCAGCTCTCTCCACTGATCTCTGTCTTCTGCTAGTCCGTTCCAGTATGGCCCCAAGGTCTGGCGGATGTTGTCTATCAATCTTGTTTTCGAGCGCCCCTTACTTCTTATGTCTTCTCTTGGATACCATCAGCTTACTAGTTTGCTTCATTTTTTAATTTTGCAACGTACCGTATGCCCTGTTCAATCCCATTTTAAGGGTTATCATATCTGTAACTTTAGTTTTTCTTGTTTCAGAATTTCCGATTTTATCACTAAGTCTTGTGCCCAACATACTTCTTTCCATTGCTCTTTATGTACTAGCTAATCTTTCTCTTTGCTTGTGTGTTGCACTAACACACAACTATAAAACATAAATATTATTAAATTTGACCTTCAGGAATACATCTGAATACCGAATACGATTTAGTCCAGTAGTTTTAGCGTGATGCCGGATCAAACACAGAAAGACAGGCAAATAAAAAAAAAAATGTTTTAGTTTCTATTGCTCTTATTAAGACCTTTCTTATAAATTTTTCTTAAACATCTCCCATGTACAAATGTCGTTTAGTTACAATTATTACGAGGTACAGTGTATTTAGATATATAATTACTGTACACTGAATACAATGTATAGTAATCACGTTTATATATATATATATATATATATATATATATATATATACATAATCACATAATCGCTGTAGGTAAAGTTATACATGACTGTTAGTCATTATTAAGACCTATAAGCATTACCTATTGCATGTACGGGTATACCACTGCTGTAGGTTTTTATCGATCGTTTGTAACCTTACCACTTAAACTATGACATAAAGGTGAAATCAGAATAGATAACAGTAATAGATACCTAGCTAGATTGAACCACAAATACATTGTAATAGGTAGGTTATTCATTTTTACTTCATATTTTTAGTATGTATTTCAGTGTTCTTCGTTTAGGTTTTAAGTTATTTAAAAATATGACACTAAAATAATAAATAACATGTTATCTTGCGGAAGTCCATATCACTGGTTATTTGATTAGAATTATTTTGTTTATTTCCACTACCATTAGTATGTGTGTGACTGCCAACATTCGAAGATTGACCGCCACTTTAGACCCTTAAAAGAGTTGCATATGTTCTCTCAAACACGTCTTTGTGTAGCTTTACTTGCATCCTGTAGTGGACATAAATCAATTCCGCAATGGGCACGGTCAACCCGTGTCGTACTTGTACCCGTTCGAAAAGCAAGGCAGTGTGTGTGTGTTTTTTTAATGAATGATAATGGAATGGTAACCCCGCCTGCGCTAACGGTGTACGCTGGCGGGGTACCGGTGAGGGATGATAGGTGAGGATGAAAGCAGTTAGCTCATCGAGATAAATACACGTGAAATTCAGCACGGTGGTTTCCAGGGGGACCACGTGGAGGTCGACCTGACAGAGTATATTGCTAGCAATGAGACTGGTAGTCCATATTACTAACAATCTTTTCCCCCCAAGGCAGTGTGTTAAACTGCTAAACCATTAAGGTACACAAACAAATATAAATACAACTTAATATTGTCATTGTGACAAGGTCCTTTGGGTGTAAATTGGTATTAGCAGTAATTTGTATAGTGTTATTTATATAAACAGTATTCTTTAGTTTGCAAATTTAATTAAATAAAACAATACGATTAATATAACATGCTATTTTCCCTATTTATATAAAGATTAATAAATCATTGTTAATATTCTATGAATATTTTTTTTTCTTTTTAAGTTCAACCTAAAATGTATTATTATAATAAATATACAACGATAGTTATTATTATCATATCTATTAGTACCATATAATAGAAAAAAAAATTTAATTATACTATAAATATTGACATTGAATATTAAAATTAAAAGAGTTAATTTACTTTTTCACTGTACATCAATAAAAGTGAAAAATGAATAAATGAATAAATTGTATATTTATTAACATTAATATATACTTATTTTTTTTTTTCATTAAGTTCAAAATAAAAATATACGAAGAATATTTATTGAACAACAAATATTTTAACTATTTATACGGATTCAATACGTTCAGAATATGCTGTGTAGAAAGAAACGAGACGGTTTTAATACGAGTATAACTAGTTGAATTTCTGCCAATATACGAAGGTCGGTTGACATTTGCATGTAGTGGTAGTACCATTGATAGTATAGTATAGAACAATACAATACAAATACATAAAAAGGGAAGATATTAGTTTTTTTTATCTATAAGTCACAAAACAGGTTAGAATCGAATTACAGCCTGATTCAGACAGTCTCAACATGGCTTCCTCATTATGCATGACTATCATAGTATTCATGGCGCTAACGCTAGTTATATTTTCACATGTTATATATTTATAAACTTTTACCCGGGATTTCGTCCGCGCTACCAGGTTAAAAAGCATGCTACGTATTGCTATTCATGCTCCATCTTATATAGTACTTACGTGTAGGCTAAGTATCATAGCGATCGGTTTAGGAGCTAAATGGTAACAAATAAAGAAACAAACTACCGTTCAGTAGTTTTTGTTCATACTCATATATAATTTGTTTTAAATGGACGATAATAGAATAGTAAAACCGCCTATACTATCGGTTTACGCTGACGGTGGCAGGCATCAAAGAGGGATGAGATATTATGAAGGCAGGTCGTTTGGCCCATAGTGACGCGTTCATCAGGAATTAATTACGATAGTTTCTAAAGGGACTGCGTTTAGGTCGACCTAACGTTCACTGGCTATTATATAGGCAAATATATTCTACTATATATTATGTATGTATACGTGTTCTTGCTAGATATTTTTTTTTTATATATATATATTTTTTTTTATATTTTTTTTTATACAACTTAGAATGGAAACAAGCTGACGGCCCACCTGATGGAAAGTGGTAACTGTCGCCTATAGACAAGAGCAGTACCATGGACATGGTATACTGTTTCGCCTATGATACCTCCCCATGCGTTGCCATTCCTGAGGACTCAGATGTTATTCCTCTGTACCCAGTAAATTCACGCCATATCCCACCCTTCAAGATAAACGTGTGATGCGTTCAAAACACAGTGAGAAGTCACAAAATGATCTCCACTTTGTATACGAGTAAACATGGACCGGTAGAGAATATCCTAAACTCATAAAACAGAGTTTGTTGTTACTAGATTCGACTCGCAACACCTGCAGCTAACGATTTATTTTAAAACGGTAACCTTTGTATGACGCCGTTCGAACTGTGTACATATTAGGTAGGTATAATACCATACGACTCCTTATTAAGGAATTTTAAAAAGGAAAAAATAGCAAATTCTAATGATTTCGATTTCATTTCTGTCTTTATAGCGTATTTCAGTATTCACCAGACTTTGAATAATTAAAGATCGTGTCTCACAAAAAAACCGGCTTCAATTGTGACAAAACTTATTAATTTGATCTAAAAATTAAATTACTGAACTGATATTGATAAAATTTCTATAAAATATGTATTTTATTTTAACCGATTATAAGAATGTAGTATAGGTATTGTATTATTATATTATCTTTGGTCGGATCGATTATTCTTTTATTAACATTTTCATTAAGTTGAAATCGAAATGGTTAGCGCGTACGTAAAATTAAGAATCCATTTATGCTATAGATTATGTTAGGTTAATAATTCAACTTCTAACAAAATTTTCAATCTCCCATATTAACTCAACAGCTATATTCGTATGAAAGGCTCAGAATATTTAGTTGTTTTTCGATACATATGGCAGTGAATTTACAGGATACAGAGGAATAAACCTAAGTCCTCAGGAATGGAAACGCATGGGGAATATCATGGGCGAAATAGTATACTCTGTAATGTCCATGGTACTGCTCATGTCTATAGGCAATGGTTACCACTTTCCATCAGGTGGGCCGTCAGCTTATTTGCTATTCAGGTAGCGTAAAAAAAAAAAAACAAAAATATTTCTTTGGTGAAAATGATCAGTTACGTTATTAGAAAACGTAGAACAATCCCTTGAAAGGATGTTAACAATTCACTCTGTGTAAAAGATTCTTAATTTTATTTATTCCGTAGACTTCAGACATTGGACTGAGATACTACATAA